CATTTTCACACTTATTTTGAGAATTATGAAATAACTTCTTAGAAAAATGCTCAAATATAAAAATTTCGATCGGAATTATTCAAAATGTCAAAATTAACAAAATGAATGTCTTTTCAACCTTTTTGTTGATTTTTTCGGCGTTTTAAGGTTTCTTATTTGTTTAGTTTTATTGGTTTCACGACCGTTTGTTATCGAATTTTAATCGTTTTAGTTGCTTTTATTTTATGAGAAAATATGACAATGTCAAATTAACAAATATTAAATTGAAACATTTCAAATTTTTTATTTAAAAAAATACTTTAAGAAAGGGTTCTAAGTTCCAAAGTCTCGCTCTATTTAAAAACACTTTTTTTGATAAAATTTTGCAATTGGACACTTTTTTTGTTCCATAAGCGCAATAAATACTTGTTTTTCTGATTTCATTAATTATTTTTATAAAAATTTGTGTCCATTTGTGCTTACGAGGGCAAGGTTTGCATTACTGAAGTTAAAAAAAATAATTTTTGTCAGAAAATAAAATAGAACAATTTCTTTTTTAAAAAAATGTTTTTTTTTAAGTCACAAAAAAAAATTATTAAAAATTATTAGTTTGCAACACTTTTTTTAAACAAAGTTGCCAGTACTGAGCGCACTTCACAAACGGCCTAACATCAAAAATTTTGAAAAATCTTCTTAAAAACGATTTATTTACAATTAAAATTTGTGTTTTTGAGTCAAAAAATTAATATTTTTATGATTTATTTGAACAGAAATAGTTAAAAACAGTTTTAATCTAAAAATTTGTAATTTTTTTCAACATTCTTAGTGTTTCTTATGAAAACAAACACTTTACAGCTTCACAAATTCATTAAATTTGGTTTTTTATTTTTTTTATCTCAAATTTATTAAAAATTGCATTTTTGTAACTTTTTTAAATTAAAAATGGCAGAACAGAAGTAATGTTTCTGTAACGAAAAATCACATTTTCACATTTATTTTGGGAAAAATGAATGAAATGTAAATAGAAAAATGCTCAAATATAAAAATTTCGATCGAAACTTTTCAAAATATCAAAATTAACAAAATTCATGTCTTTTTTGTTGTTGAATTTTTCGGCGTTTTAGGGTTTTTTTTTTGTTAGTTTACAAAATGAAGTGAAAACTTGAGAAAATTTTTGACGAACCTCTTCTTCGCTACTTTTTGCCATTTAATGTTTTTTGATTCAATAAGATTATTTTCTTATATTCATTCTTATTTTTTCAAGTAAAACCCACAAAAAAAGTGGAAGCTATTTATTACTTTTTTAACTTTTAACTTTTTGTTTATTTTTAAAGGAGATTTTTGTTGTATTTTTATAGTTTTTGGTCATTTTAGTTGATTTTTTATCTTACTCTCACTCACGCAATTTGTTAAAAACACCAATGGCATGACACATGAAAAAAAAACGACGGTTTTTTACCAAATTTTCATCGTTTTAGTTACTTTCTGTTTCATGACAAAACATGGCAATTAATATTAAATTAAGAAATCAGCAACTAAATTGTAACATTTCCAATTTTTTTATTTAAAAAAAGAACTCTAAAAAAGAGTTTTAAATCTCTCCCAGATTCACTCAATATCTTATATGATATTGATATTACCGATGTAATTCCCCCGTATTTTGCGCCCGGATTTTTCTTGAATAAAATATGAATGTAAGAATGTTTCAAACCGTCGCCTTTTATCGAATCGTTATCGAAACGTTCCCCTTTTAAAAATGCAATATCACTTGTGAAATTCGAACATATACAACCGACAATACGTAATTAACGCGCATCGAAGCAGGCGTGTCAGTCGTTTGATTTCCATGCCTACTTAACACACATCTCGTGATCAATAATGAAAACTTGAAAACTTTCAGTCTAATTGGGCCGTTAGTTAAAAAGTTGAAATTACATCACGAGAACACAAAAGTTAGCGTCCCGTCGAGCTACTTACAATAATTAAAAGTTAAAACGAAGATGTATAGCATCCCAAGAAATAATTATTTAAATGGATTGTTTCCAATTTGAAATTTCGCGCGCTCAAAACGATTATTCCCACGAGAGGGATAATATTTGCGCAAAACGACAGCAATTGTTTACGTTACATGGAACGCACTCAATGGAATTCAGGCCTCGCTTAATTAACCGAGTTATAATACGATTAATATCTTTATTGTAATAAGGCGGTGCTTTACTAAACGGCATATGTTCGAAAGACGGAAGGAAATCAAACTTTCACGATTAAAACGACGGCGCCACAATCGAAAAAAATTTTGCATACAAATCCGACCGCTCTTAAAATTTTGCATACAAATCCGACCACACTTTTCCGTTTTATTTTGTTAACAATGCTAATTTTATTGTGTTGGCAACCTTGTTTGTTATTAAAGCAAACAACAAATAACAATGATAATTCAGTATTACCAACCTTATTTTTATTTAATTAATTAAAAAATGTTTGGGGTCGGGTTAATTAAATAACGAAGTTTGGATATTTAATATTTGAGTACAGTGGCACCAACCTTGTGTAAATTACGTCACTAGACGAACCTTTGCGTGATTGTAACACAACTGACCTAATTAGTTGAAAATCAATTAGAAAATTCTGAATGGACGTGATAGCAATCTCTTGATAACAATAATACCAACATTAAGAAATGCATTTAATTGAAAGAAAACGTACAATTAATGGTTTTTGTATGTTAATTTCTTGTTGACACTGCCAACATTATCCTTATCCAGCCAAAAATCCCTAGTTTTTATGTATCTCGCAACAGGACTGACAACATAATCGTACTTATTTTTGGGGGTTTTCTTGGCTGATTTTGAAGGTTTCTTAAATTTCACGGCCATGTTTGGATCGGACAAAGTGTCCCCCTTTTTGAAATTTCCAATAAAGTTGCTCACATCTGCGAGTTCTTTACCTTTGATTCGTTTTTGCAAAGAATATCGCCCCAAATCGCTGTGTCTCCGTTCGATTTTTCTCGGTTCGTTTTCTAGCTCTTTTTTCACTTCTTTCAACGTTAAAGCACCCCAGGCGATCTCTTCATCGCTACTATAATACTCCTCCATAATTAAACCAAACGAGTGACATTTAATAATCACAAAATGACACAAGCCAACTTGTTATATCACGCAAAATTAGCAATCATGTTTTTCAAACATCGAATATTGGTCAAATAAAACATCGATTTAAAAATGTGTAAGTATTTTTTTAAATATCGATGTTTTTACTTCGATACATAGAACTTGGTTCAGTTAATTATTTTTATCTTTAATTTTTTTTAATTTTAAAATTTCATTCGATAAAATTTAAATTCGATGTATGAAGAATTCGATGTTTTTCCATGATGAAGTGACGTAGGTGGTTAAATTTTGTGTTTGTTGATTGTATTTGTTTATGTTTTATGCAAGAATTGAAAGAAATATGTTTTGTATTTGTATTTTTTTATGTTTTATGTAAATGATTTTTTTTTTCAATAAAAAACATCGATTTTTTAAGTATCGATATATATTTTTCGCTAGTGCCAACTTAGAGAAATCAACTCACCCCAACTCTGATCAGCATAGTCAAGAAATACACTGCTACCAACACAATTCACTTCAAACTGAAACGTCTGCATAGGTGCGAAATAAAAAAAACAACAGTGTTTACATTCATTGAGTAAACACGTAGTTGGCAACGACATGAAATGTCATTAATGAATTATACTTTTTGGATTAGTGAAATTGTCCGGTTGGCAGCACTCAAAATCGATATTCGGGTGCATCCCCTAATAAAAAGTGGTCAAAAGTGGAAGCCTTTTCTCGTCAAAGTTCAAGGCGCATCTATTAATAACACTTACCGAATGCGACCACAAATACCAGTGCAAAGGTTAGGGGCGAAACACCTGGAACAAAACAAACGACCTTGAAATTAGGAACAGATCTAGTGGTTGAAGTGGGTTATTCCCCCGATTTCGACCAAACATTTCGGCGTCGATATCGTCGCGTGTCGAGGCCCATCAAGAACTACCATGAATTATACACAGGATTTTTGATGCGTTCAGAGGTTTTTTGCTTGTAATGATGAGCTCGAGATGTTTTTCTAATGTTGGCAAACGTGTCAATAATAAATAAAATGGCCCATGGATTAAATATTTAACGACATGAAAGTTTCATTTCTTAATTACCAAAATTAGTAAATTGGATGAAATCAAGACAAATTAAAATTATACAGGGTGCGCCAGAATTCGCGCCCCAGAGAAAAATGCGTACCAGGACATGGAAAAAATGTTATCTATAAGAATTTCCAAGATATGAGAATTATCAGTATCATTAAATAAACATAAAAAAATGTCAAATGGCAAAAAATAAATACCCAAAAAAGGCAAAAAATGTTAATTTCGAACTAATTTGAAAAATTTTCTATAAAATTTTCAGAAAAAAATTGACGTTTCAGGATGAAAAACGTCTGAAAACGACCGAAAAAGGTAAAAATGTGTTATTTTTGACTTAATATGATGATATTCTTATATTATTTTTTCAAAATTAAAAATAAACGTCAACTCCTTGACCTAACTTTGTGATTTTTTAGTTTGTTTTTGACATATTTTTCAAAATGATTGCGTTTTTATCAGTACTAAAACGTCCAAAAAAAACAAAAATAATATAATTTTTGACCTAATTTTTTACTTTATTCGTGAGATTTCGGTTCAGTTTAGTAAAATCTCAAAAAAAAAAACTGGAGTTCTTTTTACTCAAAATCTGCTTAAACGCTCGAAAGAATTTAAAAAAATAATAATAAAAAATACAGGGTGCGGGAGAACTCGCGCCCCAGAGAAAAATGCCATATAAGGTAAAATACCAGGAACATAGTAAAAATTTTATCGATAAAAATTTCGAAGTTATGAGAGATTAAATTTTGCAATTTGACTATTTATATTTGTTGGAAAAATAATTTTCCAATTTTTTCGCTGCAGGCTATTAGAAGAGGAAACAAGGAAGCTGTATCCTTAAATTGTAACACTGTTTAATGTTATTTGTGGCCTTCATTAGCCAAATTTTTGTACCTTTACTAAATAATTATGAAAAACATACAGGCTGGTCCAAAAGTCTGGAAACGATTTTATTCTGGCAAAACAATCAATTTTTTTGGCAAATAAATTTATAGGTGTGCAATGGCTAAAAATGCTATTCAAAAAAAAAGAATATTAATTAATTGTTTATACTTACGACGAGCTTGTTGCAAGAATTGTGCAATTTTTTTTTTTGTAAACCTCACATTTTTTTGTTAATAAAATATTTGACTTACAAAAATTAAAGAATTTTTTTAAGTAAACCACCAGTTTTTTTTCGGAAATAAATTAATAAATGTTTAAAGGTTGTAAAGGAGCAATGCCAAAATATTTTTTTTAATAAATTGTTTAAACTTTTGAGATTATCATATTTTTATTTGTTGTTTTACAAAGATATGTTTATGCATTTTATAAATGTACAAAAATATTTATTGAAAATGTTACAATTTATGTTAAAAAAATTATAAATTTAATCTGTTGTCATAACTTTTTTCCACCGGCCATGGAGTGGTACGCTAATCTCAAGAGTTTAAACAATTAATTAAAATATTTTTTTTTTATATAATATCGCTTCTTTATAACCTTTAAACATTTATTAATTTCCAAAAAAAACTGGAACTTTAATCAAAAAAATTTTTTGCACAGCAACAATTGTGGTAGGTTTCTATTTAAAAAAATAAATAAATGTCAGAATTTTTGGACAGATAGAATTTTTTAAACATTTTCTCCATGTTCCTGGTATCTTATCATACTTGGAATGTGCGAGTTCTGACACACCCTGTAGAGTGGGATCGATAAGTGTCAAATAAATTATGAAAGGATGTTTTCATTCAATTTAAATCATCAACGAAATTGCTCGATGATTCTAATTACGATTAATTTAATTCAAATTGTTTGTATTCGGGGAGTCATCAAAACACATTTGCATAATTGGTGCCACAATTAAAAATCGAATTAAACTACACTACACTGTTGCCAACATGATTAATTCCATTTTTGGGGAGTAAAATATTTAAATCTGTTTCGTGTGCAATTAATCATGTTGGCAGCAAACCCCAATCTGCATAATCCCTATTGAAAATTTTAAACTGGCTTTTGATCAGGCCGACAACATTTAATAAACAAAAAAAAAACTAAACTTGAGATAATCTGATTGATTGTTCGATAATCTGACCTCGATCTGAAACAAACAAGAAAATTAATAATTCCGGTTCGAGTTTTTGCAGTAGGGCCAACTAAATAAATGTAACTTTTTATGTCCCTACTAAAACGCAATAAAAATGAAATTGTGTCATAAATTCCACTTGTACCAACTGCAACAGCCGTAAAATATAAATTACCAAACTACAGTGAGGCCAACACAAATATTGAAAAAAATCTCGTTTAATAGTGTTGTAAAAATCGATACCGATGTTAAAAATGAATGAAACGAGTTGTGGATTGTGGTAATTATCGGCCAATTATCGTAAATAATTGGTGTTGTTGCTCAGATTCCATGGGATTGTCTCTAAGCCGGCGAAAAATTTACCTTGTCAGAAGAGAAGTGTGAGATTAGATAGATGTTAATAAGAGAGTAGAGGATCCACACTTGATCACTGAGAGATTAAAGCTCGTTCACTCGTCAGTCACTCGCTTGTTAAATAATTTTTTCAGTGAATGAAAGAGAGAGTTAATTAGAGGTATAATACGGTGGTGAAGTGTGTGTCTTAGCAGGGAGCAGGCAAGGCCCTCATCGAGAACGGGGCGCCAAACTGACATAAATAGAGGGGTGGTAACACATCGTGTGCGCGAGTTTAGGTCTCTTGCTGKCCCGCCCGCCGCCGCCGCCACCGCCGCCGCCACTCTTCTTCCTTTTCGGCGGTAGGGCGAGTCGATATCGCGCCCGATTCGAATTCGAAGAATGCGCCGAAGGGAATTTTACTACATCGGCGATGACCTCTACAACACGCGCTGATTTCTAACCGACAAAGAATTCTGTCTTATCGGTGAAGAATTCAGCGCCAGTGGCGTGGGAGTTTTGACAAGGGGGCACAAGGCTCGAGTATAAAATTATATCTCTATTGACACAAAACGTGACCGTTTTGTTATTAAGGACTACTATACTTATAACTACTATATAAAATTTTTCTCTAGAAATGTAAAAAAAATTTAAAGTCAAAATTTTTTTTGATTTTTGTCGAGTTTTGGTCGATTTTTGACACCCGGAGCGGTCTAATGGCAATAACTCCGGACTTATTGGAGATAAGCTCTTATATTTGGTACCGTTGGATAGAAAATTTAATTTTCTATCATACATTAAAAAGTTCAGTGCTCTACGATGAATAGTTATCGAGAAAATTTCTGATAAAGTCAAAAGTATGGAAAATATAAATCCGACTATAACTTCAAAACTATTAGGAATTTTGCAGTTTTTTTGACGCCAATCGATTCCCCGGAACATTTTACATATGTTTAGGTCAAAATATTATATAAGTCTAATAGTTTGGCCGTAGTCGTCGTTCAAAAAGTAAAAATTGTCAAAATTGTGAAATTTTAAACGCGTTTTTCTACGAAACTATAAGACTTGGAGCAAAAAGCTAAAAACCGTTAAAATTAGCCTAAAATTATCTATTTAATGGCGCAAACCGGAAGTCGCTTCGGGATATGGTTCCGGGTACAGAGCCATTTTTAGTTTTTTCCAAAAAAAAATTAATATCTCAAAAACTATTAGTCTTAGGTCAACAGGGTTTYTACAGGCGTGTTCTCCGGTTAATTTTACATATAGTACTAGTTTTTCATAAGAATCAAAAAATGTTGATTTTTGGTCAAAATCGGATATAGTGCTTTTACTTTTAGCCTTATTCTTAACTTTATTACTCAATATCTCAAAAACTATGCAGCGTAGAGTATTCTAACTAGTTGAATCGTGTTCAGCGAGTAATTTTACGTCTAGAAAACCATATTTAAACCGTTTTTACGATTTTTAGTAAATTGACTATTTTTACGATTTAAAACCTTCAAAAACTCAAAAAATTCAAAATTTTTGAAAGTTGACCCAATAACATTTTATGCACTTATTTGAGTCTATAAGACCTCTAGAAATGTAAAAAACGTAAAATAGATCAATTTTAAAGATAATTTTTTTTTTGTTTATCGTCGAGATTTTGGTCGATTTTTGGTATCCGGAGCGGTCTAATGGCAATAACTCCAGACTTATTGGAGATAACCTCTTATATTTGGTACCGTTGGATAGAAAATTGAATTTTCTATCATATATTAAAATGTTCAGTGCTCTACGATGAATAGTTATCGAGAAAATTTCTGATAAAGTCAAAAGTATTGAAAATATAAATCCGACTATAACTTCAAAACTATTAGGAATTTTGCAGTTTTTTTAACGTCAATCGATTCCCCGGAACATTTTACATAGGTTTGCGTCAAAATATTATATCATTGCGATAAATTTTGCCGCAATTTACAAAATACGCTTCTAATCTTATTCTTAACTTTATTACTCAATATCTCAAAAACTATACATCGTAGGGAATTTTAATTTGTTGCATCGTGTTCAGCGGGTAATTTTACGTCTAAAAAACCATATAAATGTTTTTGCGACTTAAGGTAAATTGACTATTTTTACGATGTTACTATCAAAAACTCAAAAAATTCGTAATTTTTTAAACTTAACCCTATAACGTTTTATGCACTTTTTCAAGTTTTTAAGACCTCTAGGAATGTAAGAAATGGTCAAAAACATAATATGTGCTACGATTCTAGTATTCCGGGCGTCCGGAGCAACCGGAATCGATTTAATATAGCCCCAAGTCGTTTTCATATTTCTTTTACGTCTAATACCTTTCAGGATATCATTTGAAATCGGTTTGAATTTGTGTTGCTTTATTTTATTTACATGATTTTGTTTACAAATATAAAAAGTAAACAGTAGTAGAAAATACCAATATGTACACAGTGTTAGTCTAGACACCATAAACATATAGTTTGTTTTGTAAAATAAATAGTTTTATTTCAATTTCCCAAATCAAAAAACCCCAAACACTAAAAATGATTCAAATTTTCCTCACACTGTAATTTTCCGCAAAAACCTGTCATATGACAATCGATTTCATTGAGGCGAAAAATGTGATAAAACCGAATTAAGTCGTAGTAGTTGCTATTTTTAGCATTATTAATATTCATGATGTTGTGACCTTGGTGACAATTATGCTATTTTCCACCCCACTCACTGTTTTTCTTTTTTTTTTCGAAATCAGATCACGAGACCAAAAAAATTCAAATGTTTTAAACGAAACAAATCAAGTATCAATGTTTTTTTCGAGCACTCGATGGAAAGCGCCGTTTCTCTTTTGCGGTGACTCATCGCCGTTCAGCGGCGTCGATGTTGTTAATTCTTGTCGAATGGGTGTTGTTTACTGTTTACCATATTTCTAGGCCAAAAAACATACAAAATTGTTGTTTTTTCCATAATTTATTATGATTGACGGGTCAATGACAGCAGCCGTCTGCGATAAATCATCGTCGTGCTTCCCTCACCCCTTCTTCACGTGACGCCACTGGTTCCACCTGCGGAAGCACCAATTGTGTCGAGTCCACCTTTTCAGTCGCTCGAACCTTGAATATGAAATAGAAAAACCCGTTTTGGGGCTATTTTTCTTTCGAAAAAGTCGCGCCAGTGTCCCTACATTTGACATCTGTCAAAGTGCATCGAATCGTACGAATGAAACGGCCCGGTGAGTGTAAACCAGCCCAAAAACGTCCAAAATTCCCATAATTACGTGAATTTCGTGCATTGGTATTGCGAAATAGTGAAATTGGAGCATTTTATTTTGACATTAAGTGACATAACCTCACTTTGACTTCTTTGTCTTCAGCGAAATTGGAGATTTAACGAAATGTCGCAAAGCAGCGCCGTTTATCAACCCACAACGGTCACTTACGAGGCCAATGGCCCCCAGGAGCGGTGGCAGGACCGCCCCATCAGCTACTTGGCGTCGATGAGTCAAGCCGCGAGGCGCCCCTGCGGCCTCACCTGCTTACCCCCCCGGAATCTCCTCCCCGTGGTGCTCATCACGTCGAGTGTGGCCTCCTTCTCGCTCGGGTAAGCCCCACAAACACCCCACGACTGTCTCACAGCCCCCCGGTTGTTGCAGCCTCGTCATGCTCATACACGGCGCCATGGGGTACTCGGACACCCCCGAAGATAAAGAAGATCTCTATCTCATAATCACAATATTTGGAGCAATATTTTTCGCACTATCAATACTTCTCTTTGGTAAATATTTTTACACAGGACCGGACTCGCTCATTTTGACTAAAGTGTTTTTCATGCGGCTCACACGCCGGATTTGTTGGAGAAACGCCAAAGACCATTTGAATGGTTCGGGGGGACAAGCCCTTACTGTTAATCCCTCCACCGATTTCCTAGTTTCGGCCCAATACGCCCCTGTCTCGGAAGTGGCCTATCAGCCGGCGCAGGAAGACACCGAACAAAGTAAATTAATGCCGCAGGAAAATAAAGAGTGAGCACACACGAGTCGCATACAATTTTTTTTCTACTTTTTCTTGTAGGATTGAAGATACGGACCGTATGGTTGAGAGTGACCCCCGGATTGTTTTACGTCCTTTGAACCCATCCGCCCATGAAGAGACTTAAGTCACGTCCACGATTCTACATTTGTATAAAATGTATTTTTTATCTCATTTTTTTAGTTTTATACACACTATCACCGCTTACATGATTAATAACTGTGACGAGAAACGAATGCTTCCGCTTAAAAATTATTTAAAAAATATTCGGGGAAACCCCAACCAAGAAAAATATCGCACTTGTGTGTATTGTAGAAAAAAAAAAAATTACGCTGGTTCGTAATATAAAAAATTCCGTACTTAAAAGACATGACGACTGCATTTATTTAGTTTTAACGTAATTTATTTATAGGTTGTATGAAAAAAACGGCTGTTTTAAACAAATTTACAAACATTCGTTGTACTTATAATTTTTCTTATTAAATAAATTTCCGTAACAGAATTGTGTTTAATTCCTAGACTAGACTTCAATACGAAGAGGTAGAAAAAATATCCTATATACAATTTGTACACGTCAGTCTTAGATAAGATCCTTGCGTCTCCACCAGGGAATTCCCTGTTGGTCATGCATGGGCCTCAAAACCTGCGGTACAACCCTGCAACACACCTGTCATTTCCAATCCCCCACTATTTTAATCCGTCACCTTTGCCCCTCCTGTACCGCAATCATAGGCACGTGCCCCCTTGGCGGGAGCGTCTCGAGTGGAATTGGCCCCCTTTTCGCATTCCTCACCGCCATTTTTCGCTTTTTGGCGACATGACGCGCATTCCACTGGATCCCCAATAGCACGCCACTGACAATCCCCAACAAAATCCCAATATAGACCAAAACCTGTAAATTCCTCGCGGCCGATTTACGCAAAACCAGACCGGCAATACACAAACTGACGCCAATTAAAATCCCCATCATGAATACCAACTGTAGAAAAAAATAGCAAACATTTTCGAACGTTTGACATTTACCACCGCAACCATCAACAATGGCGCTGGTCACGCCCGAACTCATCGAGCTTTGGGGCCGTCGAGGCATATCACTACAAAATCACACTAAAATATTTGCGTTTGGGGGATTTCAGATTTTACATTTGTTGTGTTGGCACTTCTTGGTACAATCCCTGGGGGTATACCCTGTGCACGGTCGGATTCTCCCGGAGTTTTCGAGAATTCCGGGAAATCCTCCGGCAGTCGTCGCTTTCTTCCGAAAAGCTGGCATAGTGTTTGTAATGGTCGTAACTATCTGTCAATGTGTCATCGCTCAGGGCCGTATCGATAACAATATGCCCATTACGATGAGGGGGCCCACGGGGGTGATGGTGGGTGCAACCATGCGGTGTGGGGAGTGTTGTCGGCTAAAAAACGATTAAAATTTCACACAATCTAAAAATAAATCGCCGAGACAAACACACCGCTCGCTTTATTCAATTATACTCAGAGACGTAATGAAAGGATAAAAGGACAAAGAAGGACTCTTGAATTACACCATTAACGTAGAAATGATTGGGAGGTGAAATAAAAACGATGAAATTAGAGCCATAAAAAACATTTTTAGTTTTTTTTTCTTTCAAGGTAAAAATATTAATATTAGTTTACATAAAATAAAACAATAAACCGCACAATAGACAGTTAAATAATAATCTACTTGTTGCAAGGAAAATAACAACGAAACAATGAAAATTTTATTAGGGTTCATTATTTTATTGCAGTTGGCAAGAGTTTAATAAATATTTACGCCGCAGCCTTCTCGATTTAACTTTTTATCGTTCAAATTTCACTTAATTCTCGAAACAAAGACAATAGAAATTTTCGTAATATCCCAATTCGCACTAACTAAATTTTAATACTAATGCAAATATTAACCCAATCTCATTTAATTGCACAAAAATACATAATAATAATAGATAAATCAATTTGGAGGTATTAATAAAAATACATTCTACAATGTAAATTTATTAAATCAAGCAAAAGTTGTCAAAAAATGCATAGAATAAAAAAAAAACTTAAAATGATAGTTTCGACTTGAGTGCTTTTTTGCCATACACCACGTGACTATAATATCTCCATCTTTGTTAAGTAGCATAATTCCTAATATTTACTTTCTTTTTCTAATGATTGGAATTAAATGATAGAATTTAAAAATATATATATATATATATATATATAGGACATTGATAGAAACTAATCTAGTCCATCGCTTAAAATTATTTTCAACTATACAGCGTGTCTCAAAAATAAGACAATACAAACTTTTGTTTTTTTTTTAATGAAACACCATATATTTCTTTGCGTTTTTGGATGTAGATTTCGATGACAATGTTTTTAAACTAATCTTTTATTGGTCGATTTTGCTTAGTTTTAAAAATAAGACGGTTTTTTGACGAAAACAAGCACTTTTTAAAAATTTATTACACAAAAACTAAGACATCTAAAAATATTTTTTTACTACAAGCAATAAGGAGGTTGTAACATTTTTTTAGTGTGTTGCATTTGCAAAGGTAAAAAAATGAAGGCGTTTGTTAAAAGTTCAATAACTGAAAAAATTTAAATGGAACACCTATTTATGGTTTTTGCATTTAAAAGATTATTAAATTGTTATTCTAAAATTATTAACTTTTAAGTGTTTATAATCAATAACTAAAAAGATATTTAACGTTAAACATTAAAAAAAAAAATTACTATTGTTTCAGTAGCCAAAAAGTGCACAGTTGCACAAGAGATGGAAGAAATGTCACTTAATAATCACATTTGTGTTAAATTGAATCCATTATTCTTTATTTTTACAATAAAATAATTCGAATTTCAGTATATGTCAATGTCAATTTTCATTTTTTTTTTCTTTCTAACGTAATTCAAGATTGTCAGCTGTCAAAACTTGACAATTAATGACCATTTTGAATCACCCTGTATAGTTAACAGTGTTCTTTTATGTTGTAAATTGACAACAAAAAAACAAAATACAAAATCTGAGCTTGTTTGTGAAAAAAAAATTGTTTCCCGCGTTGGCAATGCATCGCGTGTCGGATTTTAAAAGAGCAATTATCTCCGAGTAATCCGATCTTCCGTATTGTTTTTGGCCGATGTTCAACAATGTTAAGATTCTTTTCGTGGGTATTTCGGAGACTTGGAAATAAAAGATAGGAATACGTCTCTGTTCCCACTTACCAGATGCATTCGAAAAAAAGCCACTTACCTGATAAGGATTATCAGAAGTAGTGCGGCAATGTGTCGAGGGCAGACGTCGCGACATGTGGAAGTCTCACCATTTCTGTAGCCCTAAAACAATAATAATAAATCATTTGCGACATTCAGATTTAGCAATTGCAACTCTTTAGGATTTGAAGACACAATAAATGACACCATTTAGTGACTCAACAATGATGCTAATGCACTTTTGCATAATGCAACGATCGGATAAAACCTTCAGGAGAATTAAGAGTTTTACAGTTAGCATCGAGATGCGATCATAGGGTGAGTAGTTTTTTTTTTAACCGTCAAGTTGTCACAAATTGACACAAATAACCCTAAAAACAAACTTCACAACACATTCACGCGATCGTAGGTGGCCCTATGTCGAGCTTTGAAAACAGTTGACTAACCCAGCCTCCTTACTCTTTTTCGTCGTGGTCCATCTGGTTAACAGTGGCGTCCCACCAACGATTTATACAGTCACATGACTGGCTAATTACACCACCAGTGTCAAAATTTGACACTTCCATCACAATTTTTCACTTCATTTATGTCAAATGTCTAAGAAATGACGTAACAAAGCCGACTTGATACCGAAAAAAATGCGTGAAAAAGAGACACACCGCCACTGGTGGCTATAACTCACGCTAACAAGATCTTCCCTCACTGTCACACCAAAGCCGACATCCTTGTCTAGTCACATTATCTTTAATCTATCGTCGATGGTGCGAGAGCGAGACGAGAACACGCACCAAGCCTACTAAGACCCGACTAACAACCGTGTAAACAAACAATTACTCCCCCCCGACCAACCCCCGCGATCTAATTACGAATCAAGTTTTTTTTTTTTTTTTCAAAGCCGGTTTGTTTATTTATCGGATTCAGGGTAATTACAGGGCGCGATCGAATTTTTTCGATTTATTCTAGTACGCCCACAGATAAATGCAAAATGTGACCTTGAGTATTGTAGCCTGCTTGATTATTTGACTTATAATAACCCATCATCAATTCAGGGTTGTTGACGTCATGTTTTTTTTTTTTTGTTTTTTTGTCACGATTGGGGTTGTGCAACTTGTAATTCCATTCAAATTATTGTAAAAACACTTATCCTTGATTGTTGTAAATCTGAATAGTGTAATATACTCCAATGTCATTCTTTTTTTTGTATTTAAATCCCCAGCCAACTTCTATCATCTTTCCTGTGTTTAATAAAAGTTTCACTTAACCTTCAGACCGGCTAAGTTTTTATGCAAAATGCAGTTTCAACATCGTCAACTTAAAGAAAAAAAAGTGCAACTCATTATTATTAAACCGTAACGGATGACATAACGTTAATAATAATAATAGGAAAAAGCGGAACTGTGAAATGCTACATTTTTTACTCAAATTGCACAATTTTTGACAATTATCTAGTGACCTAAAACTTTTATTGATTGGTTCGAAGTGAGCGTTTTCATTGGTCAATAATCGAAATTACGACAATAGTGATCATCAGTTGTTTCATGTGACGTAATAATTAGCTATTAAAATTCTGAAAAGAAACCAAGTCGCCTGTGTGTACGATCAATAATGTTAAAACAGTGAAAGCAACCTTGCGGTGTTACAGAAATCGGTTTCTATGGCAACCCCAACATGAAAAACCAATCAACGTGAGTATGTCACTCAACTGTTTAAATGACGCGCCATTTTTGATTTTTCTTTATAATAAATACAAGCGTTACCAATCATTTAATAAAGTATATCAAGGCTATGCAGATTTCGTCTAAGTCACATTACTCTAATTTATGAGTAAAAGTGTCAAGGTTGGTAATGCTGCTGCTGCTGGTTGCACATTAATTAACTCAACTATTACAAAACGTACTCACACACACACACATACGCCACACATACAAAGATAAACCAGTTACGAAGTAAAAGTTTTATTTATCGTAAATATTAAACAGTTTGTGTTAAACACCACCGACGATATGACATAAGATAATAAAACGGAAACAGATATTTGTGTCAAAGGTCTAAAAAAGTGAAAATATGAAAATAACAATTCGATAAACAAAATCATTTTAATAGTTTTAATCTGTGATAGAATTGTTCCTACAAAATGTCGAAATAAGGTAAGGATTAACACACAAAAAATCATTTTTTTTAATCAAGTGTGTAGTGATACAATTTGACAGTTGTGTTACTACATTTTTAAAACAAATAATCCACAACCTCAATGTCGCAAAACTGCAAAAGTAAATATCAAATGATAAGATTATTTCTTACCTTTCTGGTTGGTTTTAACGTTCTTATCACAATTATCAATAAAATTTTGATGGTGTATATAACCTTAACAATTCATTTGTTTGTAAGAGTATGTTGTTTTAGGTGTTGTAATTATGGCTGTAGTGATATCGCAGCGAAAATGGTTTATTTTATTAGCCACAGCCACGACAACAACAATTTTACTTATGTTAATTAATAAACCAAATTTTCAAGCTATAGATTATCATGAGCAACGTTCGACTCTATTTTTAGAAAAAATAACACTAAAAAATGAAAAACCGGGAAAAAACTGGAGAGGATTAACCGAAACCGAAGTCGGTATATCAAAAATCAATTCAAATTTTAAATAATTAACATTCTCAGATATCGAAATTATCAGTATTAGGACGAATATTATATTTAGAGGAAGAACCACCCCAAATAGCTGACCCAAAGAGAAATTACCAGATTTTTGTATGGAAATATGGCAAAACGATCGAAAACCGACATTTGAAACAATACGGAAACCAATTGCAAGTCAATTACCCTATATCAGAAAACAAATGATAAGCGAAAATTTCAGTGTGAACCCTTTTTCCGACTGTCCGGTACAAAACTGTCACATAACCTATAACGAAACGGCGTTAAAAACCGCCGATATAGTGATTTTCCACATGCATCGAATGAAACCGGGGGATCTCCCCAAACGCACCTCACACGAGTCTCAAATCTGGGCGTTTTTGACCGACGAGAGCCCCCATCACACTTTCCTATCGGCTAATAACCTCACAAACTACAACGGAGTATTTAATTGGTCGATGACATATCGGTAAAAGTCGCGTTAGTTTTGCCCTCTACTGTACTTTGTTTCAGGATGGATGCGGATATCCCGGTCCCATATGGGCGCACAATTCTCCGTAAAACGCCCATCGAACAGGACTCAATTTTGAAACGTCGGGACGTGTTGGTGGCTATTATGGGGTCGAATTGTGGGGGCACAAACAAGCGCTGGGAGTACGTGAAAGAGTTACAGAAGCACATCGTGGTGGACACGTATGGGGGCTGTGGATCGATCAAAACGTAATTTGAATGGGGGCTTTGACGCGTTGTTAATGGGGGCTTGTAGGTGTCCGGGACACTTCAAGAAGGACTGTCCCCAACTCGGCGAATATTTGTTCTATTTATCGTTCGAAAACTCCAATTGTGACGAATACGTCACGGAGAAGCTTTGGTGGAACGCATTCGAGAAGAATTCAATCCCGATTGTTATGGGGGCTCCCGTGGCGAGCTACAGAAAGTTGCTACCGCCCCACTCGTTTCTACACGTCGAGGACTACGCCCGCCCCAAAGACCTCGCCCAACATATCCTCTATTTGAACAAAACGGGCAAATTTCGGAATTATCACAAGTGGAAAGGGGATTTTGAGGTCTTGAACGAGCACGCGTACTTCCAATCCAAGTCTTACCACTATTGCAGGGTCTGTGAGGCCCTCAATTACAACCAAAAGCACAAAAAAGTCTACCAGGACTTGAGCCAGTTTTGGGGCATCACTCGAGACTGCTATCCGGCGTGGAACGCCAGATAAACCAACTATTTATTCAAATCCAAAGAGTTAGGTTATGTTCGTTTTTTGTACAATTGAGATGAGAAAAATAAAACTTACCACTAATTTATGATCTGCCGTACTCCCAACACTTAATTCAAAGGACAAAAACATTAATAAAACACATTTTTCGAACAAAACAACGCAAACACAAATCACAAAATGGCAGGGGTTATTGCACCGTTACGTTGCTGACCCTGATTTTTTATAAACACGAAAAGTGAGTCATTATCGCGTTTTATGCAACTGGAAGCACACAAATTGAACCCGACACGAAATTAATTGAACCGCAAACGGAAATAATAAATAAATTAATAATATCATAAACAAATAATCACCACTCAATGTCGGTATGTTGGCAACAATGCGACTACTTTTGAATCAACTTATTTAAATTAATTAAATTCATAGAACTGTTTAAATTATTGTAAAATTAGATTTATTCACTTTAAAGATTCATTCTTATTACCATTAAGTATTTAATTCAATTAGTTTAGTTTTATGTTGGCAACGCTGTTCATGTTTGACATTTCAAGTGTGGTTAATTCGTCGAAAAAATGTTAAAACCGAAGGCTTTGACGCAAGTTTTGAGTCAGGCGAACACCGGAGGCGTCGAAAACACCTTGTAGGGCGTTTGGTGTCTTTCAATTGCAAATTGTGAGTTGTTTTTTTAGGTTATTGAACCAGGAGGGGGCCCTCTTGGCGTACAGTGGCTACGGTGACAGAGACGCCCGAGTGACCGCAGCCATCGCTAGTAATATTTGGAGTGCGTATGAGAAGAACGGCCGAAATGCTTTCAGAGAGGAGCACCCCCAAATGGTCCTAATTGAGTGCACTGATGGACGCATTGCCATAACCCAAGTCGCGAATTTGTTGCTCTGTTTGTATGCTAAAAATAACGTGGGGTTCGGGATGTTGAAAGAAAAGGCAAACGCTTTGGCGATTTATTTGGAAAATCCACTGAAACAAGTGGCCACGTCCTAGGTTAAGGTTTCTTTTAATAAATTGTTTGATTGCACAGTTTTATTGATATAAACAAACGTTTAATATACAAAACATTACTCTAAAGACAGTCCGTACAAAATAGGATCTATTATACAGACGCTCAAGGAAAAACGGTTCCATAGTAGTTTGATTTATACAGAAACAGTACTGCCAACTTGGAGAATTTTCGAGTTAGTGTGTTAAAACATCAAAAAGTAAATAATTTGAGTGTATTGCTTTAAAACGTTTCGAGTGATTTAATTTTTGTCATGATTTTTGAAGCAAGATAAAAAAATAATATTTTACAGTACATTTTGTGCGTTTACGTAAATATGACACACTTTTAATTGGAAAAACTACACAAAATATACTATAATCAGACCCCATCGAGTTTCTTGTCGCATTTCGTGTAAAAACTTGCCTCTTTTTGGAAAAAACTGATTTTAAAAGGCACCTGACCTAAAATACGCCAAGAAAACACTCAACCTTAAGACGAGTGACATTCAAAATGTCATATTTGAGTCACGTGTCCGAGAATATTTTACAATATCAAGTTACCACTGAAAAAATGGCGTCCTAACAGCGGCAGCAAAAAATCCTAGAAATGTCAAGGGGCTGCGCCCCCGATATTGTTTCAGTCCTTGTGTTTTAACTATTACATTCGGGAGCCCTTCTGTTGCAGCACTTTGGCTTTATCGCTGTGCTCGACTTCGATGCCTTCGCGGGCCCCATACTCGCGACTCACGACACACAAAAACTCGGCGTGCTCGTCAGCCCCATAATTGTACTGCGAGCCAATGTTGACGAGTTGCTCGAATTTCCAGCCGTCGGACATGGTCGAGACCATCTGGAACACAAATTGTGATATTTTTGTAGGTTATGGGAGAGGGGGGCACCTGCGTGAGCTCGTCTTCGTGGCACTGCAGGACTCTATAGACGTGCTTTTTGCTGTCTTTGCTGGGGCGATTGTCGCGGTGGCATATCCGCTCTTTGACTAAAGTGATCAGTTCTGCGACGTTGTAGAATTCGGCCTCCTCGAGGATGCCCTCCTCGGCGAGGCCCTTGTTTATCACTAGTTTGCCGTGACGGAGGTAGTTTAACACAGGGGAGAAGTAGTTCGGGTCGCGGTCTATTAGATAAGCGCCGGTGTCGTCCTGGGGGCACAAGTTTAAAGCCCTGAATTCAATTAAGACACTCACCTTATCTGAAATTAGATCACTGTCTTCTTGGACTAGTCTGAATAAAAATGAATTTGGGTCGCGAGCTAACGTCGTTTTAGTCGTCAAAAAATACGTTCCGCCCACATTCAACTTCACCCATTGTTTATTTCCGTTTTTGAAAAATGTTTGTTTATTGTCCACGGAATTCACACCATCCTCCGCCATGTTTACTTTACCTACCAACCGCATCGCGACAAAAACACCAAAACCGAACGGAAAATCCCTCAAACAAATTATTTTTCACCGTTTTATTATTCTCTCTTAATTTCGAAACATGAAATTAGTAATAAAAAACTAAAAAGCACCGGTTTCAGACACGCAAAACAATAAAAAACAATGTCGGGTATGCAACACGTAAGGTCACAACTATTGGGGGTTGCATAAACAACAATTAATAAGAAATATATTTTTTTTAAATAAGTCTTTGATTTATTAGTATGACAATCTCTAACAACAGAGTGGGTCTTCCACTTGCAAGAACGCCGCTTCGCTTCTCCGTATCGGTTCATCAACTTCCGGTGTAACCGAAAGTACCCGGATGGGTTCCCCCGGTTCAATCATTGGTATTGCACTTCCGGGCCGGGACTTCCGGCCCAATCGTGGACTTTGATATCCATAATTGGGGTATGAGTTATAATCGCTGTAGTAGTCGTTATTTTCTTCATAAGTTGGGTATTCCCTGAGTGGTTTCCTGACTCGAGTTCTGATGCCACCTTGAGTTAGTCCCAATTCTTCCAAATCGGCTACTTCGTAGTCAAGACTCGAGTGTTTTTCAAGTTTTCGTGGTTTAGGTTTGTACTCTTTAGGTTCCGGGGCTTCCAAACTAAAGTCTTCTCCATAATCGTCGTCGTATTTGTTATAGTATTGATATCTTGCTTGTGTTCTGTTCGGATTTAGGGGGCGTTCCATTATTGATGCATATTGGAGAGCCGCTTGTTGCTTCCTTGCTGTTTCTTCATCCCAAGGGCCAAATGTTTGCATTTGGGGGGAATCCATGTTAAATCGTTTAAATTACACTTTTAATTTTGACTAAAGGGCCGAAAAAAGAATTTTGCTTGTCAATTTAATTTTAGAGGTGTGTCATTTTATACCACGCCTACTATCACTCTCAATCACATCGATGCTTCAACAGTTAAAACAGTCACATGTCCATTATAATCATTCTGATTCGTAACTGGTTTCCTTGCAATTGTCAAAGTTTTAGTAACTTCTCCTTGCTCCTCATCGTAGTACTCCTCCATCTCTAACTGCGTCTGATATTCGGGAAGCGAGACATCACTTTCATACCCAAACTCCGCCCCCATATCCTCCCACTCTTCCTCGTATCCTCTACTCGCCATATCCTCAATCATATACCCGCCTTCATCCCCGCCCAAATACCTCGACGATTCATCAAACGGTCCTCGAATCTCAAAACTGGGCTCATACCCCAACATCCCCTCATCATCCAAATACATTTCTTGCAAATCGCGCACAGTCAACCCCAAATCCTGTAACGCCCCAACATCATACTCCACTTGCGTGGGCCGTCTCCGCCCAGTATCAATCTTCGACACAGCTTGGATTTTCTTACGTTTGGGGCCTTGAATAGGCGGCGGTGGTTTTCGGAACGGCCCACGAGGCGGTGGTCTCGGTCCTTGACGGGGCGGAGCTTTGGGTGGAGCTTCCGTCCACGGTCGAACTCTCGTCGCGCGAGCTGTCCCACGACCAGGCGGTGGCCTTGCAACCCTGGGCGTGGCTACTGTAGTCACCGTCGTCGCATATTTATCCGCCTCCTTTTGCATTCGATTATACCTAACTTTAGCTCGGTCCATTTTCGAACGCAATGATCGAACTTCGGCCGTTCGCGATTTCACCGATTGAGTCGATGTGGAGGGCTGGGGCCCCCCGCGTGGGGGGCGTTTGGGGCCTTCGGCCCAAGGCCGCGCCCGACTCTCCCTCGCCGCTGACCGGTCGACACTTTGACGACTTGGGGCGCTCCTCACTGAAACACTTTGACGACTTGTTGCACTCCTCACCGACGTTTGACTCGGACGCTCCGCCCAAGGGCGTGATCTAGACGTCCTCGCTGCAGCTCTATCGGGGCGTGGCTCAGGGGGCGCTTTTGTGATTGGTTTCTTCACCGACGTCGATGATGGACGTCGCGACGCCTTTTCCGGTGCTGATTTAGCCCTTGATGTAGAGGGCGCTTGGAGAGAACCACGAGAAGGGCCACCACCAAACTCCTTCGAAATGACCTTCTTCGCCTCGACCCAAGGACGTGACCTTTGGGTACGCGCTGTTACACGATCGACCTGCTTCAGACGAGGAGGTTCAGCCTCCTTCTGGACTGTTCTTCGCGAAGGTGTTTTTGATACAACTTTCTCTTTTTTCGCCTTCTCTCGAGTCGTTTGTTTGTACTCAAATTGGGTCTTGGAGGTTTTACCCTTGATTGTTTTAGCTTTAGTTTTAGCTTTCGCCGCCGCTTCTTCGGCTTTTCGTTGACGTTCTGCTCGTGCTTCGGCTTCCGCTCGTGCCCTTTCGGCTTCTTTTCGTCGTTCATTGGCTTCGAAATGTCCCAATGTGACCGGATCTACCATACTTTCATAGCGTACGTCGGGGAACATCATCCGTGCCTCAACCTCCTCCAAACTCCTTGCTGTTCTTGCACATTCTTGCCAATCGGCATATTTTCGTAGAATTGCTCGCGGTTGGTTTTGGTACTCTGGTAGTTGGAATAAAGCCTCGACTTCGGGTGAGCCACGTGGATGACGTCTTGGTTCCGGTGTCAATTTCCGGAAGTGGATACCACTTCGAGGTGTCCGTGGTGGTGTCTGATAAGTCGGAAACAACTCCTCGTCTAAACCACCAGTGGCTTCATCGACAACAAGTTCGGTAATTTTCGGCGAAAATGGAGTGGTAGGAGGCGATGGAGGCGTGGCACCTGGAACCCACAAATCGGGTGTTTTAGGTGAAACAAGATCGGGCATTTCTTCCGTTTCGAGAATATCGCGGATTGGTCGAGGAAGATGGTGGGCGGGTGTTGCTTCACGTCGAGTTCGAGGTCTTCGCTGTGGGTGTACAATAGGTGGGGTCATTGGTGAAGGAAGGTTTGCAGGAACTGGTTCGTCCAAGTAAGTTAATCGATCATAAGCTTCGGCTTCTTCTACTATTCTTTGTTTTTCTTCCAATTCTTTATATTTCTCTAATTCAGCTTCGATTTCATCTTCTATTCGGCCTTCAAATATTGCCGCTTGTTCTTCGGCGACATCTTCAACCAGACGAGGTAAAATGCGTGGTTTCACACGTGGCCTATAATAAAACACGAGTTAAATAAACTATTTTTTATCAAGTCCTAGAGTGTTTCAAAATGATTGACATCTTGGTAGGTCATGGAAATTCAATTTTAAGGTGGCAACATTGGTACTTTCACAGTTCAACCAACCACTGGTTAAACACAACAAAAATAAATCTAATTTGATGTTATTTTGTTTAGTTCATTCGATTTTGCTCTTTTTGTGTCATTTTTGCTTTTTGCACGTTTTTCAAATGAAAACTTTTTTTTTTAATCTAATTTAAAATGTTGATAAAATTGATATTATTTTAGCTTGTTTCGCTCGATTTAGTTGATTTAGATGTTGTCAAAACGCGTCTAAAAATCACAAAAACGAATCTAAATTAATGATAGTTTGTCTGTTTCACTCGATGTAAGTGATTTTTGAGTAAAAATTGAGCGTGTCAACATGTTTTTCGACCAGAAACGCAATGATTTCGCAAAAATTATTTAAGAACAAACAGAAAATTTACTAAAAATTAAATAAAAACATTTTTTCTGAAAATTTTTTCAATAATTGGCTCTAAAACTAACAATTTATTTTGCAAGAACTTGTGAAAACACGCCTAAAAATCAGAAAAATCAAAACAAATCAAAATTCATAATGTCTTCTTTGTTTCACTTAATTTAACAAGTTTTTCAGTAAAAAGTAATCAAAAATAAGCAGAAACATCGAAAAATTTGATCGGAAACTACTTTTTTTTCAAACTAGTGAACACGTTTTCCAACTAAAATCTTACGTTTTCTGTAAGATTTTGCTAAAACAAACCAAAAAATTACCACATTAAATAAAAAAATCAAATAATGTTTGCCTTTTTCCAGTGTTTTAGCACACTTTTCAACTGAAATTTTATCAAAATAGGTTGAAAATAGTATTATTTTTGTCTTTTTCGAGTGACTAAAAGCGTTTTTAAGATAAAAACAAATTTTAACAACAAATTTTGCTAAAATTGTCTGAAAAATTACTAAATTAGATCGTTATGGACATTCTTTTAGCTTGTTTCGCTCGATTTAGTTCGTTTTTGAACCAGAGACTCATTTATTTTGCAGGATATTGTCAAAAGATGTTTAAACACAACAAAAATTAATCTAAATTGATGTTATTTCATTTGTTTCATTCGATTTAGGTCTTGAGTGAAATTTTGTCAAAAAAAATAGGACGAAAAATACAAAATATGGTCAAAAATCGTGTTAATTGCAAGATTTTGCTAAAACAAACCAAAAAAAAAACATCAAATTAAGTCATTATTTTCGCCTTATCAAGTGTTTTAGCATGTTTTTCAAGTAAAAACGTAAATATCGGGTGACTGTAAATGATTTGGTGTCAAATGTAAAATTTAATTTGGCAACCTTGACTTTCAAATTCAAACGTCAAACTTTTATAGGATTACCAGGTTTTTCGCAAAATTTAATTAAAAACTAGCCAAAAAATTATAGAATTAGACAAAATGAAATAATGTTACCTATTTTTGAATTTTTCGAGCGTTTAAGCACGTTTTTGAGTAGATTTGTTAGATTTATGTAAAAAAAACGTGAATCTTCGACAGTAATAAAAAAATCACATAATCTTATAATCTGGTGAAACTAGGTGTAAATCTGATAACTTTTCAGCTCAGATCTGGTGAATTTAATTATTTCGAGTTGTCAACACTGATTTCAACAAAACCGACTTACGGATGAACATCTCTGTAACGTCTCACATCGTAAATTGGTGCTGCTTTCGCCTTAGCCATCGTCTCTTCAATCACACCCAATTGTCTTAATGGTGACATTGGTGAAAATTCTGGCAGTTCTTCATCACCAAAAGGTGCTTCAACCACATCGATAAGATCACGTTCGGGTGTTTTCGGCGACTTTGGTGGTCCTTTCGGACCATAAAACCACTGTTGCCACATTTCCAATTCCATTTCACGCGGTAAAACAACACCAGCTAGAAGCTCATCAACTTCTTCATTATCCATAAACAATTCACGTTCCTCATCATCAACAACTTCAGTCGTAACTTCAGTCACTTCCTTATGACTCTCATCTGGATCACTTTGAGGCTCGGTAAAGTCCAATTTGCGTTTCTTTAATCTCCTCCTCAACGTCCGACGACGTGGCCCCTCCCTTCCTGGAGACTCCGGTGCTGGACGTCGTGTTAACGGACTCGGGGGATAATCAACAGGTGAGCCAATCGCCGGTAGTCTCCCCCTTCCACGTTTCCACGCCTCAATCTCACCGGCATCTTCAGGGGGTGGAGTCCCCGGGACACGCCTCTGTCTCCGCTGCTTGAACTGTTCACCAGTCACAAAATCAAAACCCCTCCCCTTTCCTAGTATATCCCCGTATTGCTCCCACTCCTCAGCTCCGCCTTGCTCCTCAATCACGTTACTAATCGTAGCCAATCGTGGCTCATGTTTACGCCCCATAATCGGCGCCATGTCACTCCCCGGTTTCCTCCCACGGAGTTTCATCACTTCCGGATCAGCCGTCACGGTGAAAGTTCGATGCGGTTGTGGTTTTTCACCAAGTAAATCGACACGTAATTGAAACATTTCCGGTGTGACAACTTCCGGTGATGATAAATCCGGTTGGCCAAAAATTGATGGTGGGGGTGTTTCCATCGCTTCAATATTATACGTATCCGGAAGATCAAACACATCCGGGATGGTTTTTTCCGGTGTAATGTGAAAATATGGTGCTTCACGTTTTTCTTCCGGTGGTTCGGCTCTTTCCGGTATTTGTGGGATGCGTTTAGTGTCCGGAGCGCGTGAATAAGTCCGGGGTTGGGGACCACCAGGATAGATGGTTGATAAACGACCCGGAGCCCCCTTATCACCCAACCGTTCCCGCCTCATTGCTACTCTCCTGGTTTCAGTTGGTGTTCTTGCTTCTTTCGTTGCAAGAGCAATTTTTCTTTTAAGCCCCATTAAATCAATTGGGGGGCTGTCAGGGGGTGACACCGGTGAGGCTAAATAACCAGGAGGTGTCTCTTCTCCCATTTCATCTGGAACAATTGTTTTGAACAACTCATCGTAGTATGAAGGAGGTTGAAGCTTCTTGTAGTGTTCTTGGGGGCGTTTTGGGGACACCTCCCCCTCAACTGTTGCAACTGGTCTCAATTCTTCGTATTTAATCTCGGGTTCTTCATACTTGTCTTGAAAGTACTCGGGGGGGTACTTGGCCCAAACTTGACTTGGTGTTTGTGGTATTTCAGTGAATTCTTCTTCAAAATGTGGGGGTGATGGTGGGATTGCTGAACGTGGATCAGTTGGGGGGCGTTTTTGGGGTTCCGGTGAGGGGTACCACGTTGACCAATCAATATCGTATTCATACTCATTAAAATCGGGTTTTTCCTCCAATCCGGGAAAATCCTTGGGGTCAAAACGTCGTCTTCGTGGGTCAATTGTATGATGAGGCACTACGACTGGAACGCCCTCTAATGCCGGTGCTGATGTTAACCAATCATGATAAATGTGTTTCATATCCTCCAATCGGCGTTGAGTTGGACTAAACGCCTCCAACTCCTCCTCCTCAAGCAATCCCAAATCTTGTAAATCTTCATAAGGACTCATCGGTGCTGTTTCTCCAAGTTCGTCCATTTGTTGATCGATTTTCTCTTGCAACGCCAATTGTTTTTCCTTCTCTTTGATAAACTCACGTTGAGTGAGACGACGATCAGGTGGTCTTGAATGTGGATCAAAACCTTCACGTGTCATTTGTGTTTCAATTAATCTTTCCATTGCTTCAAAATCATCATCTTCGGGTGCTGTTTGGTAGAATTCAGCTGTTTCTTCCTCAGCTAAAGACTCCAATTGTGCATCGGCTTTGTGATGGAAGTCCAAAAAGGCCTTTCTTTGCGTTTTGCGTCGCTTGGATGGGAATGGTATCGGTTTTTCTCTCGCCGAAGGATCAACTCCTGTTCTTCTCATATCCTCCTCAATCATTCGTTCCATTAATTCGTAGTAATCGTCTTCAACAGTTGGACTCAATTGACGTGTCTTGTTCAACATCTCATTGAAGGCATCCACGACTCGTGGGTCTTTACCCTTGTGACCTGGTGAAGATTTAGTTGATGCTGGTTCAGGCAATGGTGTTTTTGGACTTCCTCTTTCTTTTTCTTCTTCTTCTTCTTCCTCAATTTGGACTTCATGGTGGGTCAAACGCGGTGTTGGATGTCTGATAGGCGACCCCACATCTTCCATTCCAGCACTTTGCATCAAATTTTCATAAATTTCACGAGCTTCAGGCGAGAGATGAATCGAAACGTCATGGTCGACAGCCACATCGTGGGATTTTGGTAACGGTGATTGTGAACTTTTCGCAATTTCAGACATTGATTCTTGAAAATCGTCCATAGTAACTACCAAAAAATATCAAGTGACTTAAATCAAATAAACTTGACTTACCATCAAGTGATGGAACTTGATCATCAGGAAGTAATTCCAATTCTGGGTTTTCCTCCATGAAATCTTGTAAGTCTTTTTCTGCCTCGGCTTGCCATTGGTCGAGCATTGCGTCATATTCGTCCATAAACGGGTCAACAACTACTGAATTAATAAGAAATCACCCATCTAAAGTACCAACAACTTACCATCTTCTGGTTCCTCCTCAATTGAAGGTTCTGAAAGTTGGGGTGAAAGTGAGAGTGAGGGTGAGGGGGAGCGACTAAAAGGAGACGGTGATGGAGATCGACGAGGGGGAGAGGGAGATGGAGTGCGACGAGGAGGGGGCGATGGTGTGGGAGATCGACGAGGAGGGGTTGGTGTTCTGGGAGGAGCTGCAGGCGGTCTTCCCACGCCTTTTGGTGTTGGAATTTTTCGCACTTTCTTTGCAAGAGGCGGGGCTTGAGGTGAGGCAACTCGTTGTGGAGATAATTCAATAGGAGCCAAATCGTGTTCTTCTTCAAATTGTTTCAAATCGTCCATGGCTTCGTGTTCTAGGGCTGCAAAATGGGCGGCCATGGTATCCTCTAAAAAAATTAGTCTCAAAAGTCTCAAAAACTTCTAAAAATGTAACATAAGATTATTTGGTTCATTTTTAAAGTAGATTTTTGTCAAAATTTTGGTCGATTTTTGGGCACCCGGAGCGGTCTATTGCCAATAACTCCGGACTTATGTTTGGTACCGTTGGAAAGACAATTTAATTTTCTATCATATACAAAAAAGATCATTGTTCTACGATAAATAGTTACCGAGAAAATTGCTAGTAAAGGCAAAAATAGTCAAAATCCATACTCCATTAAAACTTGTATAAACTATTAGGAATTTTGCGGTTTTCTCGACATCAATCGACTCATCGGAACATTTTACATTCAAATGAATTAAAATATTAACCATTTTGGACGTAGCCTAGTCGCAATTCACGTAATAAGAAAAAGAAAAAAAATTTTGAACACTCCCTCGTATAAATTTTGGGCTTACCTTCAAATGAAGGAATTTGATCATCTGGGATTGGTTCCACGTCGGGATTTTGGTCATAAAACTCCTGTAAGTCCGCCATGGCTTCGGCTTCCATCTGTTTGAGCATTGCATCGTACTCGTCCAAAAACGCATCATCCTCTACCAACCCAATTAAAAAAAACAAATTTTTTCCACCCAAAACTTACCTTCTTGGGCTGCTTTTTTCTTCCCCTTGATCGCTTTAGTAGCTTTCGGAGGAGGCTCCTCCTCTTCGATCACTTCCGGTACGACAATTTTCGGTTTTCCGATTTTTGATTTGCTCTTTTTTTTCTTCGGAGGTGGGGGTGGAGGCTCCGCCTGTTTCTTCTTTTGCGCCAATAGTGACGCTCGTGTGGGCCGTGCTTTGGGAAAGGGTTTTTTCGCGGGCTTTTTCTTGTAGATTGTTTCGACGGAAGCCATTGTCGAGGAGGCTGGTGGGCGGAAACTTTCCTCAGTAGGCGGAGCTGTTTCCTCCACCTCCCCTTCAAGGAATTTGGCTTCGAGGAGATTGGAACCCCAACTGGGCGGTGCGCGGTCTTCAGGAGGCGGGGATAGTTTACCAATGGGGCGGGAGGGAGGCGTGGCACCCAATGACGATCTTTTCGTGTCTTTTTTCCTATTGGTGTGGGGGGATTAATGGGGGATTTAAGTTTGGTCAAATTACTTTTTGGGAGGTTCTTCTTTTGGAGGTTCAGGTTCGGAGGGTGGTTCTGTGGATGTGGTGGGAGGTTCTTCGGGCGGTTTTTCGAACAAGTCGGGCGTTGATTGGGCAGCTGCGAGAGTGGGGGGCGGAGTGCTCACTTCTAGCATGCTTTTAGCAGCTGAAATTTTGGGTTATTTAAGTGTGAGTGAGCAATTGGTTGGGAACCTTTCGGGAGGAGTTGTTTATCGACTCGGTACCATGTTTGTAGGGGGAGTTTGGAAATGGCATAGTAGGCGTGAGTACCAAAATTTTCGATTTTTTGTACCGCCACATATTCGAGTAAATCGGCGGAAAAATCGGAAATGTAGGGGGGGTAATCCCCGGATTGGCCCAGACGCCGTTTCCGGTACTTTTCCCGATTTTCATCTTGTTCCCCTTCGATAATTTTCTTCGCCACGTCTACCAACTTTATCAAAGTTTCGTAAAAAAAACTAGGAAGTTTGAAACAACTCACGGTTTGGTTTTGTGGAAACTTCTCGAGTGTTTGCACCGAATTCGGGTGCTGCGTGAAAGGGGGCGCAAGCCTTTTCCTTTGTAAAACAAACAGAAGCAATTTCAAATAATCCAATTTAATTTTTTCATCGCTGCCCGAGTCCCCCGTCAGCTTTTTGACCCAAGCCGCGGCCAAAACCCGATCTGAAGCAAAAAAAATCGACAATTTGTCAAAAATGGGGGCACCTACCGTCGATCTTGGGCAAGTTCAAGACAAGCGGCTTGGTGAATTTCAAATAGAAATCGAAATCGGTGATATTTTCCATTGCGAATTTAGTAAATATTTCGAAAATTAGACCATTTTTAAAATTTTGACATGACTTTTGAAAGATTATTTATTTTAGTAGCTAAGCAACGTGAAACAAATGATTTATTTGTCAAGATTGTCAATGGGGGTGGAGGAGGTTCGAGCCCCAACTTGGGGGGATCCTCTCGTCGGACTCGATCGGCGCCACCAGAAACATGACCCTTTTGCCGTCCCCCCTGACCCTCCGTTCCAGCTTCGTGGCGAAATCGTTCTTCTTCTCCTCCAACTCCCTGTCCTCTGCGACCAAAATTAGAATTTTCGCGCCGTTTTTCAAACACTAACCTGTCACCGCCATCTTTATTTGCTCGTCTTCGTCGCCCAAATCCGGCCCTTGGGGCTTCTTATCAATCCCTGAGGGAAAAAGACTCTTATCAAACCTGTCCCAAAACGTTATCGGCTGTCTAGACATGGCGTAATAGCAATGCACCCCGAAATCCTCAATGTCCTGATAAGCCACATAATTGAGTAAATCCCCCGAAAAGTCACACGCGTATAACCGCGCCCGGGGGTTTTCATCACTCCGACAAACCTACAACATCTTATTATAGAACCAAACAGGGGTACCAACCCACTTCAGGCGTCTCAGCCAAGTCTCTGATTTTCGAGGGGTGCTTGTTGAAAGGGGGGCCCAGTTTGCGTTTCTGGAGGAAGTAGATTAGGAGTTTGACGTAATTATTCTTCTGTAATTCGGAGAGAGAGGAGTCCTCGACCAAACGCTTGAGCCAAGCACAAGCCAGGGATCTGTCTAAGGGGCAAAAATAGAGGGATTTTGGGGGATGAAGGGTACCTGAGAGGGACGATAGGGCGAAAATCAGGGGCTTGGCACATTTTACATAAAAGTAGAGGTCGACAGGGGGTGATTGGGTCATGTTTAAGTACACAGAAATTTTGACGATGAATGATGATAAATTGTCAAAAAAGCATAAATTGGTGTATTGTTGGTTGCCTACCCTACCATTTAATTTTTTTTCTTAAGGATTTGGTTTGGGTTTTTAATAAAACACAACAATTAAGAAAACTATTTTATTTCGTAACAATGTGACATACGACTACAGGTCGTCCCGTTATAATAAAAAACTCGAGTTATTTGTAAAAATCTCGTAATCTACGCCACTGCAAACGATAAGAATTCGGTTATGGCACCTAAATATGTAATACTTGAAAAATACTCTAGAGGAATAAAAAAAATTAATAAATAAAACTCGCCGAACTTGCATTAATTGTATTGTTTCGTTGACATTTTTTCAAAAAAAATACATTAATTAATTATACAAAATCAGTTCTACACTTAAAACGTATAATTTAAGTAAACAAATTCACAAATAGTTTGTTCTTAGAATTCTAAAAAGAGAAATAGAAATGAGGTATATGAAGAACTATTCCTAATAGAAAAACTTAAAATTATAAATAAAAATAGCAATCAGCTGCCCGCTTAATTCTGATTGTCACTATTGAAAAAAACCGAGGAAACTGTCTCAAAAAAGGCACTTGTCTTGCACCTATTGCAAAGAAAACGAACAAAATCGCTGTTTGTTATATACAGAGCGACTCTGTCGGTAATTTCTCCAAAAATTATAGTCCCGGAATTAGGCATCTTATTACTATCGTTTTTAAAGCACTATACAAGTTTATGTGCATTTTATTTGCTTATTTGCCCCCCCTCCCCTCAAAAAAACAATTACAACATACCGTGGCAGTGTAACAAAACGACAAAAACAGACTATAAAAATGAATTTTGAAAATTAGCGCCATTTTCATCGTTGTAACAAAAAATAAATTAGGAATTTTACGTTTTTTCAACGTAAAAAACTCAGTCGATCGGTTTCACCTGTGCCATAATCTTCCCCTCCCACAATGGAAGCACTTCACTGTCGTTACTCACCTCTTCGTGGGTCACTTGATCTTCACAAACCGTCTTGAAGAAAAACCTAAACCAATCATTTAAGACACAAGTCGGTAAAAACGAACACGACATTACCGATAATTTCCTTTTTTCGGCAAGTATTCTTTAAATTGGCGTAAAGTAATCTGTGATCCTGGTATTTTCGTCCTGTAAGGAAACTGTTCATCGCAGAACGAAAAAACAACAATCGTCACATCCTTCTGACCTCGGATCGATTTACGCAACGTTGATTGGCCACTTTGAGCAATCTCCGGGTAGTACTTCGACGATCTGAACAAAAGAACCAATCAGTAATGCTAATTTGATTTAGCCACGCCTACCTCTGTTTGGACCGCCTTCCGCCGTCGTCCTCCGTCAAACGCCTCCTAATCTCCTCCAATTGTATATCGGTATTGGGGGAGGGCAATGGTGGCATACTTGGATCAGCAATGAAGGGTTGTGCCGGTCCTGGCCGTTCCAACGAATTTGATCTTGAACCGTACTTCTTCGCGTACTTTTTCCCCACTGCCATTTCGCTGTGGGCGTGGCTAGGGGCGGTCTTACCACTCCGATCCGATTCCATTAGCCACGTCAACACACGAGTGTCTTTCGCCACAGGTACGACCGATATCGTGTCGGAAACGACCGAAACGCCGCTATCGGTCAATTCCGTGAGTGTCTTCTTCGTCGATCTACGACACGATGTAGCACGCGAAAATCGATCATCGTTATACTCGGGACAACTTTTCGATTTCGGGAGACGTTCGGACGACTCGGCAAAATCGTGTACATTACCCGAATCGCCGCTAAATATCGAAAACATGTCTTTGTCATGACGACGCGTTCGTGATTGGCTCCAGCGGCCGCGAGGAGGTGACGACACCTTCGGACTGACCAATCCTGGCGAGATTGATAACGAATGATCCGAAAACACACGAGAGACATGCTCGTCGAGGATATCCTGATCGTTATCATCCTGAAACTGTATACTCGATTCGATATCACGCGTTTTCAACTTGTCATCCAATGAACTCAACGAATTACCCTAAAATGAAAAATAAATTCCCCTAAAAATTAAAATGTCACTAGAATCAAACCTCTTTCAATCGACGATGGAACAACTCCTCATTCTCTTGTTCGCGTTTGAGATTTTCGAGTTTTTTAATCAAGATAGCGGCGTGTTCTTCAATTGGTAGACATTTATTATTACTCATATCCATGCGTTGGGTTCGTGGGATAAATCGTTGATTCATATTGATTTCCTTGTTACGTGCGGTAAATTGACGCATTTGTTTTTCTTCAACTGATTTACGATAAGAACGACCAGATCTGCCATCACTGAGAAGAAAAATAATTGACAATCGAAGAAAATGGCGTCATTGGTCATGTGACAAAACTTTTAATAAAAACTACGGCATGCATTCATGCAACCGTACCTTTTTGAGGGTTTATGTACGAAGTGTTACTGGTAAGACTGCTCCCTACTTTTTCAAGAACGGAAAGTTTGAGCGATTTGAAAAAAAAAGTTTGTTACGCCACTGGTTTAACATTATATTAAACCGGTTTTTAGCATTTTCTATTGAAATAAAACAATATTTTTGTCTTAAATTTTTATTAAACGCTAAAACATCAACAAAAACACTTTTTACACAAAAAAAAAACGCAATTTTTTGATAATTAAGTTTCATTTAAAACTCGAAAAAAGAAAGACATGTGTCTAGGTTCATTTTTAATTATTTCTAAATATCGAAAATAAAATTCCTCTTTTAACACATAAACTGAAAAGTGATCGTAATACGGTCTTAAAATTGTTTTGCTACGCCACTGTTTTGTCATAGCAAATAGTGTGAAATAAAAATAATTCAAAGTGATTAAAGCATTAATAATTTTTTTAAACAATCTTTAAAGGCTCATAACATGCCAAATATAATCCTAGATAGACCTTAAGGGCACTAAAATATCCAAAAAGCTTAAAATTTAATTTTTTTTCAGTTGAAATAGTGTTGCCAACATGGAAACAAAAAATCACCAGAGTTTGATGCTACCAAGTTTTTACGAATTTTCGTTAAAAACTGAATAAATAAAGGTAAGTAACCACTTCTGGGTTCAATAAACGTGTTTCCAATTCCTTTAGTTTGTAATAAACTTCATATTTACACATTTAACACTTCGAGAAAAAATGAAAGTGACACAACCTCACTTTCAAGAAATTTTCAATTAGTTCAACAATATTTAAAGCCCCAAAATATGCAAAATACAGTTTTAAGCAAACCTTAAAGGCACTCAAATTTACAAAATGTTAAAAATTTAATTTTTTTTTTCACTTGAAGTATTGTATTGCCAACATAAAAACAAAAAAAAAATCCCTACGTTACTACACCAATTTTTCATACAAATAAATAAAAGTAATTAACGTCTTGTATGCACAATAAACGTATTTCTAATGTTATTAGTTTGTAACAAACTTGACTATTTACACATTTAACATTGGAGTATGTCAAAAGTGACATAACCTCACTTTCTTTTACTTTAAACAAACTCACTCAAAATTCGCTCCAAACTCGCCGTACTTCATGTTATTCACCCTTGTTATAGTTAAAATTATTTCCCCCGACACAAAAATCGAAATTTTGGCCCCCTTGTTTCAATACTTACACATTGCTCTCATTTATGGACATATTGTCCGATTCGGTCCTCGCATCCGAATGACTACTAAGCGACTGCTTTTCGCTATCTTGTCTCGAAACCGGATTGTAGGAATTGTATGCGACGTGAGCCCCACTGCTTCGGTATATCAAACTACGCAATCACACGCAAAAAAAAGAACAGAAAAAAATAAAGAGCAACAAACAAGCGTGAAGCGGTGGAAAAATCTCCATTTGTGTGTTACTTACCCAGCATAGGTCTCCGATTTGGGGCGAATATCAAGAGCACGATGTTTTTGAGATCTGAGAAGCATGTCTTTGGTGAGACGAACAGTCGGCGTGTGATAACCAGTACTAACACTAGCTGTACCTAAACAGTGCTGTTTTTTTGAAAAAAGAAAATGAAATTTTTCAATTGTATGCACCTGGAGTTAGTAAAAGGGGCTGTTGCGAGTTGAGACTGAATTCCATGTCTTCGTGGAGGGTGGGAAGGGGGCCCAAACCACTAGCCAAGTTGCCCAAGTCTTTGTTACTGAGTGAACTACTGGAAGAGCTTGATTCGCTGTTAAAATCGTCGCTACTTGCATTCTCGACTGACTATTAATCGAAAAAAAAATTAAAAATACTATTTTATTCGCAATCACAACAAATTTGAAATCTTAGTTTGGCGACACTGATTGTCAAATTCAAATGTCACATTTTTATATTGTGATTGTGAGAATAATTAAAGAAAATGACAATTACTTGGACATATTGCAGATAGATGTCGCTTTTGAGGAAGTTGGGGTAAGTGGTTTTACTAATTAAGTTTTCGATTTGTGCTTGGGCCTCGTCGAAGAGCGTAATTGGTGGTTCAAGGCACTGGGGCGATTTTAAATTTTTCATTATTTGTTTTTTCAGATCATCGTTGATTTGTAGGGCCGATTTTAAAAAATACGTCCTGAAAAAATTACAACTAAAAACCGGAAAATAGCCGAATCAAGACTCACTTATAAATTAATTTAACCAATTTTTGTATATTTTCAACTTGATCGTGATTTTTCAAGCCTTCACAAGCGAACCAAAAACGCAATGTATCGGCATAATGGGGGCCCTCCGATTCGAGATAACGCAAGAATAACTTCACACCGTCCGAATCCTGTAGGAGATTATGTAAGGATTCGGCCCATGCAAGATAGGCTGGGGGTTTCCCGTGACGCGACGAAGGCCTATAACTGCTACCATCGTCGTAATCAAACTCTGGAAAAATATTTAAAACAAATTAAAATTTAATTTTTCAATTAGGGGGGCTTACTTGGAACTGGAGAGGAAGACTTGTAGTGTCTGCGGTCCATCTGAAGTGGCTGCGCCCCCCGCTCCGACGCGTTATAGGCTCTCTCCTCTCCCAATGCGGGGGGCCTCGGCAATGTATAGTCGAAAGTGCCCTCATAGATCTGCTGTTTGCCACTGGACCTTGCTTTTTCCCGATCGTTCATGTCGACAAAAGCCCCCAATACAAGATGGGCCACTTACAGGGGGCAGAACGTCTCAGATTCATCATGAAAACTAAAATTTTTTTTAATTAAAATTTTGAAAAAAAAAAGTCAGGGGGGCGCATAACGCATACACCCCCCTTGATAATCCCCGCATCATAAAATAAATCAAACATGGACGCTAAATCGTAGCCCCTTGGGGTGTGGTAGCAGACTCTTCGATCAATACCTCGAAGAGCGTCCGAACAAAACCATACAATGCGCAGCCCTATTCTTTTCTTCTACACGCATTATTTCGTAATGGATCCCTAGTTAGGAATTATTAAATCATATTTAATAAAACCAAACAAAAGATTTTTCCCAGGTAGGGAAAAAAAATCAAAACCTGTCATATCCAATTACATCATTTTACCATGAAATAATTTCGACGAAAATTCAATCAGGCGTAGAAAACAACACACAAAAGCCTAAACCATGCAAAAACATACCACATTTCATCAACAGAAAGCCCCACTGAAATATTATTATGATACACCATCGAAACACACAATACACCTATTATCCTATTATTATGAAAAAAAAAAATTATTTATTTTAATAATTCGCATTCAGCTGCCACTTAAATCAGCCCCGAAGCGTCTGTTATGATGGACAGACGAATAGGAAATGTTCAAATGCTGCAATGAACAACTGAATCAAGTCGTTCGAAGAGTTCCTTCGATCGATGAGTTGGTAGACAAAAGGGGGCTCTACGCTCTTTACGCTCTTTTCATGCCACCCAGTTCCTTTTTAACAACGCTCCTAAGGCTCATTTTTATTACTTAAACCAGATATTGCCATGGAAATAGAGAGAGAAATGAAATGGGTCCAAGTCACCATCAATCGATGAAGCCCAAAGTTTAAAATTTTTTTCAAGTCTTTTGTGAGCAACTGACGCATAATGAGGGGCACACAAGGGGCGATACACCCTCAAAAACTCACAAAATTACCACAATTCTAACAAATTTTGCATAAATAATCACCAAAATTATTTTTTACAATTGTGACAAAGTAAGTGAGATAATTATACTTGTAACGTCGCCCCCTTGAATAACAAGCCCTTGAAATGAATACCAAACACAAGTCACCTTATTCGCATTACGATAATGTTGTTTTTGAGTAATTATTACTTCAAATTGTTAAAAAAATAATTTTTGTTTAAATTGTGTTGTGATGTATGCAACCAGCAATACACAGTTGTATACACAGTTGCATACCCTACACTCCCATATTTCGTAATTAGACAATTTTAACGTGGTTTATGTCGCAATTAACTCCAAATTAATCACATAAATCACAAAAATAATAAAAAGTGATCGGTTGTGGCCAAGTTTTATGTCTTTTATTTTTTCCGCCTTGAACTGGTGTGAAGGTATTAATTAAAGTGATCGCCGTCGAAATCGTGTCTGTGTTATTATAGGGGTGAAAAGGGCCACGTTAGTGTATAATTTAACGGTATTTTAAGTTATAACCACTTAATTTTAGGCGGCGTAAAAAAACAAAAAAAAAAAAAAACAAAATACGAGACTTGAAAAATTTTGGGGCTCTTCAAATTGAACAAAAATGGGAAAAATAACGAATTTATGGTTTTAAATGTCAATTTTCCACGTTTAATGCAAAAAAACACATTGAGTTTTGATTATGAAAACATAAACTGAGCAAAAACGAGGGAAATACTGAATTTAGTTGCTTTGGTTTTAAATGTCATTTTTCCACGTTTAATACAAAAAAAATATTGCGTTTTTGATTATGAAATACAAATTGAGCAAAAATCAAATTTATGGCGTTGGTATGGTTTTAAATGTGTTTTTCACGTTTAAAACTAGGTAAAAAAAAAATTGCATTTTTGTCTATGAAAACATGAGTTTTTAAAGCTTCAGCGATTCAAAATTCGACTAAAATTACTAATTACGTCCTTCATAAATGACAATTAATTAATTGATTGTTAAGCTATGATTTTAACGCCAACTCTGTCAAAAATCTAGAATTTTATTTTGAAATGTTTCTCGTAATTTTTTTTCAAAATTCGTCAAACCGTGAATTAATTAAAGTGCACGTCTGCGTTCATAAAAACACTCTGTATATAAAGTATGTAAGTAATGCAGGTTTTGCTTCGACCGACGTCTGCTAGAAGAGAGAATGTCTTGTATCAGGGCCGGTCTTGCTCTTTGTTTTAATTAAATTCGGAAAAAAATCGCGTTACCTTCGGAAACAATCAAGCATCACGACTGAAACACGACTGAAAACCGCCAACTGAAAACTGAAATCGCGGGAAAACTTTTCAGGATTTCCCATCGGTAACGCACGCGTTTTACTCTCAACCAATCATCGTCTTTCTTCTAGACCACCACGTGATTATCTTATCATTTATTCGTATTAAAAATGACAATTTTCGAAAGCCGGTCCTGTTTCACATCTGTCGAACGGTATAGAATGCGGTGTGGGGGGACGTGAGAGGGGGGGCTGAATGGCGGGCGGCACAACTTCTTTGAAGCCCAGAGGCAGCCAGTGGTACCGCCGCGGTTGCTGACCCTCTAGTGTCGGGTACCCAGCAGTACCAAACAAATGCAATTTTTTGACAGGTGTTTATTGCTGTCACACAGCACACTGAGATTACTCCACGCTATCTGTCATTGATTGATGATTGTGTAAATAATTGTCAAGTTGGCGGCGGTAGATATCAAACGCGGAAAATGAAATTAAAGAATTCCGAACGGCGAGAAATATTCAATTATGACGCGAATTCCGGACTCGATATGAAAATATCGAATGGTCAAGTGGAAAATTCAATTCGTGTTTCAATATTTGGAGAATTTTCACCCCGTTTTAAATCCATTTCCTGGTACTAATAAATACGTGATAAGACCACAGGTAATTTACTCGCGTACCTGTATAATTACAGACAGACAGTTGGCCCTGGCTTTCGAAAAGCAAGACAAAAAATTGGATATGTCTCGGGTTAGAAAGAGAGAGAAACGAGGCAAAAGGACCGATTCTCGGAAAATAACTCACACACTGAGGGTAGTTTGTATTTTTATTATTAGCGAAGGCCTAATCCAACAGACAGGGGCGTGTTTGGGTTTTCTTGAATGACATGTTTATGACTACCAATTGAAGAATACCACAGTGTTACCAACTTAGTCGAAGCAAAGTCGAACAATTATTATATTAATTTCTGATCAAAACTGAAATTAAGTTGGCAATACTGATTATCATATTTAAACGTCACACTTTTACAGTCAACTGTCATTCATTTCCGAAAGACGACCGCCACCTGAACCAAAATAACATCACCAATAATTCAGTGTTGCCAACTTAATTTCAGTTGAGTGAACTATAAAAACAAGTATTATTATAAATAAGATAAGACAATTACTTTTGCCGACAGTACTACCAACTTCACTGAAGCAAAGTCGGAAAATTATTATATAAATTTCTAATCGAAGTGTTCTTTGACTTTGAAATTAAGTTGGCAATATTAATTATCAAATTCAAACGTCACATTTTTATACTCAACTGTCATTTATTTTCGAAGGGCGGCCGCTGGCATAGTCGCCACCTGAACCAAATCAACATCACTAATAATTCAATGTTGCCAACCTAATTTCAGTCAAAGACATTTTGATCAAAAAAACATTTACTGGGTTTAGAAATTGAATAAAGTGAAATTTTAAGAAATTTAAAGACCTAACATGAGAATTATTTTTGCCGGCAATGTTACCAACTCGATCGAAGCAAAGTCGAAGACTTATTATATAAATTTCTGACCAAAATGATTTGTAATTGAAATTAAGTTGGCAATATTGACATCAAAATCAAACGTCACACTTTTATAGTCAACTGTCATTCATTTCAGAAAGACGGCCGCCACTTAAACCAAATTAACATCACCAGTAATTCAATGTAGCCAACTTAACACAATTATTTTTAGCCAACAGTACTACCAAATTAATCGAAGCCAAGTTTGACAATTATTATATAAATTTCTGATCGAAGTGTCCTTTGACTTTGAAATTATGTTGACAATATTACCTATCAAATTAAAACGTCACATTTTAATAGTCAATTGTCATTAATTTACGACGGGCGACTGCTGGCATAGTCGTCACCTGAACCACCAATAATTCAGTGTTGCCAACTTAATTTCATCAGAAAACATTTACTGGAATTGTTAATTGATTAGAATGAAATTTTAATAAAGAAAATAACAATTATTTTTTGCCGACAGTGCTACCAATCGAAGCAAAGTTGTATTATTAAGTTGGCAACATTGATTATCTAATTTAAACGTCAAACTTTTATAGACTATTGTGATTCATTTCCGAAAGGCGACCGCCACCTAAACCAAATTAACATTATCAATAATTCAGTGTTGCCAACTTAATTTCAGCCATTTTGATCAAAAAAGCAATTACTGGGTTTATAAACTGAGTAAAATGAATTTTTAAGAAATAAAAGGACAACATAAAAAAATATTTTTTCCGAAGCAAAGTCGGAGAATTATTATATAAATTTTTGACCAAAATGGTTTGTAAATGAAATTAAGTTGGCAATATTGACATCAAAATCAAACGTCACACTTTTATAGTCAACTGTCATTCATTTCAGAAAGACCGCCGCTACCTAAATTAACATCACCAGTAATTCAGTGTAGCCAACTTACGACAATTATTTTTTGCCGAATGTACTACCAAATTAATCGAAGCAAAATTTGTCAATTATTATATAAACTGATCGAAGTGTCCTTTGACTTTTAAATTAAGTTGGCAATATTAACTATCAAATTGAAACGTCACATTTTTATAGTTAATTGTCATTCATTTTCGAATGCTGCTGGTATAGTCGTCACCTGAACCAAATCAACGTCACCAATAATTCAGTGTTGCCAACTTATTTTCATTAGAAAACATTAACTGGATTTAAAAGTTGAATAATAGGAAATAAAATAACAATTATTTTTCGCCGACAGTGCTACCAACTTGAATGAAATATTAACCGTCAGCGTATTTTTTGTATCTTTTAAACCGGAAATTCTCTTGTATTTCGATAGAAAAAAACTCAATGGAAACGAATGACGCAGCGATTTATTTCTTTTGTTAGTGAATGGCGAAAAAAATCGGTGTCGAATCCGCCCCCCATACTAAGAAAAGTCAACAAAGTGTCGGTCTCAAAGCCATCTTCGACACTTAAAAAATAATAAAAAAAAACACACACACACAAATGAACAAATGTCGCGCCCCAGCTTCATCAAAGCAAGCGAGTTTATAATTTTTAAGTCCACACAGAGTGGAGACAAAGAGGGCGATATTAAACGTGAAAGGATGCCGCGATTCGTCGTTGTTTGATGACAGCGGCACCTTTGACGTCGGCGGAAGGTGTTTATCGAGGGCGGCTATGTCCTTATTTATTCAATTTTTTTTTTGGTTGAATTTATCGGTAAAAAAAATCAAGTGTGTGTGGTGTGCGGTGTTAAAGTCAAGGTCGTCACTAAAACCGTTCGCATGTACAATGTTGAATATTTGATCAAGTCGCTCGGGGATGGAAGCTAAAAACAAAACACGAACTGGAAAACAATTACACACCTAGCCGACTTCGATCTCGGGAGGATTTTGCAGTTGACAAGTAAAACGCTTGATCGATGCTCGCTTGTCTCGGCGGCCGTGACGGATCGTCTTTTGTTTTTTTTTTTTTCATGATGCTGCTACACAACAGACGACTTGATTTTACAAAGCCTGCACGTGAATCGTAGATGGCCAAGATAGACCGGTTAATTAACTAATTAAAGGAAGCGTTCGCCGCCGTCGTAGTGTGCTGTGATTAACGGTTATAGTCACGTGACCAATTTTTCGACACCGGCCAACTTTCTAATCGCGAGATTACCGGAATTTGAAATTTTCAAACAATAGACAACTAAATCCCTAGAAAAACAATCGCATATCGGTTGCAGTTTGCTCATGAGAATGTTGGTGTTTGTATCAAATTTATGATTTTTTTTGTTAACACGAGTTTTCAAACTCGAACATGTTTTGATAGTGAATCACGCAGGATTATTCATGAGAAAACTCATAAATTGCAATGATAAAAGCCGTAAAAAAGTCACGACGCTTTCTATTAGTTGGCTGTGATGTTCAATTTCAAAATGTTAAGTTGGCCGTGACATGTAAAACAACCCAAAACGTCAATGTCAATTTGACACTTTGAAACTAATTCAAATCGATTTCAGCTGACAATGAGAACTTTAATTTGTCAAAATAATTAAAAAAACTAAATAATTTTCCAGTTTTATCATAAACAAGTATCAGCGACATTAAAAAAATCAAAATATCGACGTAAATTAGTATTTATTTTTTCATCAAGTTGCCCGACAGTAAATCGTCGTTGTTTTGTTTTAATTTGATTTATTGATAACAAAATAGCTGTTATCTTAGTTGGCTCCGGTAAAACTTTGAATACCAGTTGGCTGTGAAAACTACACAAATGTCAATAGATTAAAATTTTTTGAAATTTTTGTAAAAAGCGCTTTTTTCTAGTCCCGAAAAATCGATTTTCCCACTCCAATTACAAGCAATTAACTCTTTGTTCCCTTCGGCCATAAATAAAGCACAAACAAGCCATAAAATTACAGTGTTGGTGTCTCGCATGTCTGGCCACTATTTTGCATAATTTAGGCCCAATTGTCACTATCCCCCGGACCCGTCCCTGTGCTCTAACCTAACAAACCAATCGCCCCCAAAATCGGGCTAAAGCTTCCCCGGGGCACTTTTCACGCCCGAAATGAGCGTCGCAATGGAAAACTCGTCAGGAAATCACTCACCTTTTTCGCGTCCGGTGAAAATCCGAATGTTATTTTTGTACGGAAAACATAAACACAACACATTTTTTCAACACTGAAACATTTTGACGGAAGCGACGTGGGGGTGGAACGGACGAACCAAAACACTTCTTCGAGGAGGAAAAGGGAAGAAATTAACTGTAGTTTTTAATAATAACTAAAGAAACTTTAAAGAAGCACTTTTTATCACGTATATGTTGAGGCCGCCATGCCATGAAGAATGAGGGATGGCGCCACCAACGTGCCAACTGTTGAACTAATCAACGCCTCGACCAATCACAGAGCAGGAATTTTTCAACCGCTAAATTTTCGAATTTTTTTAGAAAAAATAATTACTATTGTGGCACGGAAAAGTGCACAATAAACTAAACTAGTTATTGTAGAAAATTTTAGCCCGTAAGACACAGCTTTTGTATAACAAAAAAACAAAATTATCACACAATAGTACGTGTATTGTTGGTTGCCTAGCCTCATAGTTGAAAAAACATTCTAAAACCATAATAACAACCATTATTTAACAGACCAAACACAAACCAGTAACGTTTAATTTATTTAACAGAAAAACACAAACAAGTCACGTTTAATCACATAACGCCACAAGAATTAAAAATTTGTATAAAAGAGCAAACCACTAAAGAGTAACCATCTAATTTTGTTATGTCTATTTATAGTTTGCTTTATACTAATAAATCAAAATTACCAATTTGCTTGGAACAATTGTGAACTAATTAGTTGTTTTAATTATTCCCTTAATTATTTTTGCCCAACTGCTTGTAAATACTTGTGTTTCGACTCTGGCGATCTATTATTTTTATGTTTATTGTCAAGAACAACCCTAACCTCACAATTGTTTATATACTTTTTTCAGGAAAATGTTTTAGTGTAGCGAGCCCCAATTTTGTGAGATGGACCCCTTTGAGGGCTTTATAACCTCCGACATCACTATCAAGGATGAACCAGTCGTGAAACCGGAGCCCCCTGTCGCGCTCCAAGCCGACCACTTCCCCTTCAAATGGACCCCTGACGGCTTCAAGTGCCCCTCTTGTCCCTTCAAAACGAAAATCGAGGGCTGTCTCCTCAACCACATCGAGAAAAAACACCCCGAAATCAACTTCAAACGCGAGAAAACCCTCAAATGTGGCCACTGTTCCTACCAAACCGAGCACAAGTCGCATTTCGCCAGTCATGTTTTGAAAAAGCACACCCCCGAGGCCCCCTTGCAGTGTCAACAGTGCCCCTACGTAGCCGTGACGGAAAAGGGCCTTCTGAAACACCAAAACAAACACAAAGCCTCTCTCAAGTGCCCCCAGTGTGACTACAAGGGCAAAGCCCTAAATTTACTCAAAGTGCACATAAATTACAAGCACACCGAGTGGCTTAAATGCAACCAATGTGAGTTTAAAACAAAAGGCAAGCGGAAATTAAACAATCACGTGACCAAAGTGCACGAAACTTTGACGGTTAAGTGTGAGAAATGCCCCTACAAGGGGGCGACGAAGTCCGATTTGGGGGTGCACCAAGAGCGGGAACATTCACAGTACGAGTGCCCCCATTGTGACTTTAAATCCAAGTACAAGGCGGGGATTACCCGACACTGTTTTTACAAACACACGGTATTTGATGAAATCAAGTGGTTGGAGTGTGAAAAGTGCCCTTTTAAGGCCAAAACCGAGACTTTTCTTAAAGTTCACGTCATTAATGAGCACACTGAAGCGAAAGAGTGAATTGAGGCGTGGCTTGACTTAGTCCCGCCTGGTAGGCGGGGCTTGGAGCAAACTCATGTTCAAATTTTATTTAATAAATGTCAAACACTAAAACGCGTGTTTTGTGTCATTTGACCTAATTCCGTAACGCGAAATCGCTATTGTTGCATTTGGTCTAATTCCGGTAAGAGCGAAGCTACTTTCACGCGCCCTGCTGTTATTCTCACGTTATAACGTGTCGCGTAATGGCCGCCCAGACTGTTTTTGTCGGAAAAACGTTTAATTCTTACGATGAATTGACGTTATTTGTGTCACAATACGAGTTATTTCAACGTCAAAAATTCTGGAAAAGGTCAAGTCGAAAAATTAGTTCCACTCCCAACATTAAACGGTTCATCAACCCGGAATTGATTTACTACGAAATAACGTATTCGTGCATACATGGGGGTGAAAAATACAAATCGCGGAGTAAAGGCTTGCGGAAGTCGATGTAAGGGTTTAGGTTGGTACGACTGGGTATTTTCATGGGGTTTTTTCAGTTCGTTTCGGCTCGAAGCGCCCTGTAATGCCTTTATTAAGTTGCGAGCGTCGCGGGAAGGGGATTGTTTGGAGATAAAAAGCTTCAACGAGGAGCACAATCACGATTTTAACCAGGTTGGTTTTTGGTCACTAGGGATTTTTTTTAAATTTTTTTTCAGACTCGCTGGAATGTGGCCCAAATGGAGGCTTTAATCGAACAGTACAAAAAACACCCAATACTTTACAACCCCAACCATGGGGACTACAGAAATACCGAATTGAAAAAACACAGTTTGTGTAACATAGTCGAGGCTTTGCAAGCCGTCCGTTCCGGCGTAACTGAAATCGAAATCGTCACACAATGGAATAATTTAATCGCAAAATACTCAAACGAAATAACAGACACGAACGAAGTGGGTTTGTAATTAAAATCGGCCAAAATCTGGTTATTTTTTGTTTAAGGAATGTCACAGTTGGTACGCCCAAAAACTGTCATTTTTGGACCATCATGTCGACTCCTCGGTCAAATACGAGGAAATTTTCGAAAATGATGAAGCATCTCGATCACCAGAAATTCAAATCAAGGAAGAAATTCCAGACTCGCCACCACCAAAACGCGACAAATCCCCAAAAGTCGAATGTGACATTTTTGGGGATTTTGTTGCCGCACAGTTGAAAAAAATCACCAGTGGTAGTGTACGCCAAGACGCTATTTTTGAAATACATCAAGTGTTACACAAGGCATTAAAAACTGAACTGTAATTTATTTTTTACTTTTACTTTTGTTACGAAACACTTCTTTCTTCTTCTGTTTGATTTTCTTCTCTTTCAGTGCTTCTTGTGCTTCGATTGTTTGTCTGTGCTTCTCGAGACGCTCCTGAGTCTCAGCCTTGATCCTCTCTTGTTTATACTCGTAGTTCGTTTTAACCATTTTCATCAAGTTTGAAACCTGAAACATAAATTACAAAAACTGAAACACAATTTTGACATCACCTTTTGTTCGTAGGGTTCACGAATCACAGCCACCCTATCAATACTCTTCTTCTTATCAGCGGCCTTGACGCCATGTTTGGGCTTATCACGATAGGGCAAAGCCTTTTGTAGCTTAGCAGGAATAACCAAAGGTTTGAACGGTTTAGGTTGTCTGTCAATCGGCTAAAAATACCAACACAATAAAAAATAAAACACTAAAAAATTGACAAATACTCGATATAAACTATCCTGATCTGGCAATTTTTTAATTCCTTTTTCCCGTTTGATTTCCCCAGTGGTCCTAACCCCCCGCCACGTGTTTTTCTTCTCCTCGGGGAGCAAAAGTGTGGTTATTGGAGTGTAAAATTGGGGCACATCGACTTTATACCAAGTCCGACAAAACACAATATCACTTAACAAAATCTTATCCTCAAAAGTGGCCCTAAAACACCCTTCAGGCTTATTCACGGCTTTCTTAATCTGTCCCCTGACCCCCGAAACTGTCTTAATCCTCGCCCCCTCGAACTTCGCCACTTCCAAAGCACTATTAAACATCCCTTTAATAAACGCCGTTTTTTTGTAAATTTTCAACGGGTGTCCTACCAACTTCAATTTTTTCATTATTTGAGTCGATTTATCCAATTCTTGGACCACACCAGTGGCAGCAATACGAAATCCCTGCTTCACACTCTCACAATCGACCGATTGCAAAGCGACAAAACCCGACCCTTGGGGCGTTATGGGGCCCCAAAAATGTGCATTGCACGCTAAATGCTCGGGGGTGTACTTCAAATAACGAAATTTTAAATCATCCTCCAGTTTCGAATAGATCGGGAGGGTTTGAAACCGCCGCCAACCCAGCGAGATAATAAGGGGATCCCCCGTTTTCAAGATTTTACTATACCACCGATGTTTTTTTATTTTCACGTTAACGTAACCGATATTTTCTTCGCCCATATTGAGCGCACCTACAACTAGCGGATACGTCGGATTGAAATTCGTCACGAATTCGGCCGGAATATCACGAATCTCAATTCGGACGTACATCCCCGGCCGGAAACCCTCGATCTCCACTCGGACATCATCGGCCATATTCGCAAAAACGTTCTTATTTAATTGGGCTTGTTTCTCTGCACTTTGTTTCAAATCGTCATAATAGGATTTTTTTTCCGTATTGTCATATTCTTCATCGAATTTCTCCTTTAATTTACGCTTTTTCTCCGCCAAAGCTTGCTTGTCTGCCTCTTCGTCGTCTCGTTTCCGTTTCGTGTGTTTTTCACCCGTTTCAAGATCCTCAAAATCGCCGAAAATTTCCGAATCTTCGCTTAAATCTTCATCGTCTAATTTTAAAAGTTCACTTGCGTCCTCTGTACTTTTCCATTGACCAGTCACGAAACAATTAACGATCGTTATTTTGTTTTCTTCATTTAGATAGTCTCTAATGGGGGCGTTCCAGGGCTGAATTAGGGCTGATTCAGGGAGGTTCATGGTGTCTTTATCGAGTTTGAGTTTTTGTTGAGTGCGTGAGACTTTTTTGAAGAGACCACCGAGTGTTTCTTCCTCTTCCGGTTCTGTTTTTATTTCTTCTTCTTCTTGTTTTTCATTGAAAATGCCATAAACGAGCTTCATGAGGTTTTGATTGGTACTTTGACGATCTAAGAAGGCCGTGTGGGCCTTTTCCACCAAATTTTCCTTCCATTTTATGTCGTCATTATCTTCCCTTTCTTCATCTTCTAACGAATTTTCTTCCCATTTTATATCATCGTCATTTTCCATTTCTTCATCGGAATCCTCAGCTTCTGACGAATTTTCTTCTTCCTTTCTTCTTTCTACATTTTCTTCATCTTCTGACGAATTTTCTTCTTCCTGATCTTCCTCCCATTTTATATCATCGTCATCTTCCATTTCTTGATCGGATTCTTCAGTTACGGACGAATTTTTTTCTTCCGTTCTTCTTTCTTCAAAAGTAGTTTTCTTCTTTTCGTCCAGTTTCTTCAAAATATTGCTGATTTTCGAATGAACATCGTCTTGCTTTTCTTCTACATTCTTCTTCTTTCGCTCAATTAATTCTTTATCTTCTAATTCATCAAAATTTATAACTTCCTTGCTTTTTGAATCTTCAATTTTTTCAACGGAATCTTCTTCTAAATCTTCAATGTTGTTGGCAAATTCGTCATCCCCTGTTTCAAAAACGACCCTCCTCCTCACCCTCCCCTCATCTTCAACTCTTTCCTCCCTAAACCGTCCATATTGTCCCCTCAATTTCTTCAATTCATCCTCCAAATCCTCCTCCTCTTTCTTGTCTTGCTTCTCATAAAGTTGCATTTCCTCTTCTTGATCTTCCTCCTCCTCAAACTCCTCCCCTGTGATTTCTTTTCCTCCCGTAAAAATTTGTATTTTTGAATGCGCCATTTTGACATCTAGGGTTTTTTGCGTATCAATCAGGTTGGTAACAATGTCAGTCTCCTCGTTTTTATTACTATGACTATGTGAACCCCCCAATTCGACATAAACCGCATCTTTGTCATACACAATACCTCCAACTCCCGAAAAGGGGGCGTATATCAATTTCTCCTTTTCGATCAACGCCCGCTTTTTGATTTGTTCAGGAAGTGGGCAAGGATCAGGGAGGTATGAAACGTCATGGATTTTAACATCACCCAATCCGGCGATATGTATCGAGGCGTGGTTTTTAATAGGCACGCCTCTTACGTAACCATAGAGCGAAATAATACGATCACATTTCGGATTTTGTCGGATCACTTCCTGATTGGTCAAATCCTCGTAGCGATCGGCTAGTAGATAGCCGTGATTGGTGCGCCATGTTAATGGGCGGAACTTCATCACAGAGATGAAACGCCCCAAATTGCGAATTTCGTTACGTAAATATTCGTCGTGTACGAGTCCGGAGAGGTAGAAAAGTTTGGCTCCGGGGTAGACCTCGGTCCAGAATCGGTGTTTTAGGACTTTTTTCGTGGTTTTTAGGGTTTTTGCGTTTTTGATCACATCGAGATGGGTTAAAATACCCATGATTTTGGGCATTCCATGGACTTGACAGATGTTTAAAAACTCGAAAACTTCCATTTCGAAACCGAAACTTGCATCACATAGTAGAAGCACCAAATCGGCCACTTTCGCCAAGTCAATCATGCTGTTTATGTCGTTGTTGCACTCGATGAAAGTGATTCGGCGTTTTTTACCAGTGACAAGGGTCACGGGGCCCTTGATTTCCACCAGGGGCGACTTTGTGAACAATTTAATCAAGTTGTTGATTAGCGTGCTTTTGCCGACTTTCGGGGGCCCCACCACGGCTATCAGAATCGGAGGGGGCTCCAAAGGGGTACGATCAACAAGAGGAACATGCTGTTTTTTCGTGTCGATATCCTGTCTTCGGCGAAATTTACGCTCAGCACGGATGGCGGAATTAAAGGCAAAGGCTTTGGGGTTACGCTGCTTGTCGGAGACTTCCCCCACACTTTTTTTCTCCTTTTTCTGGGCCTTGCGGCCGGAATGACGCTCCCGGTGTGACTTTTTCGCGTTTGAGTCATCACTCGCGTGATTTTGAACCATTTTTCCCCACAAAAACACAACACGTGTGTGTGAGGTTATGTCACGTGTGACATTTCTCAAGCACTACTACCAACCTGACGAACTAAATTTTGGGGTAATTGACAATTAGTGTTGTTTTTTTTATAAATTTATGGGCGGCTGAATTGTTCGGTGATTTAGTAGGGTTTGATTCATTACAATTTTTCTCAAGTAAACACAAAAATATTTTTGGGGTTATGACACGTTTTTTACATTTGACATTTATCACGGATTACCAACATGACAGAATTAATTTTTGGGTAATTCGTTTTTTTTTTCGCACTTTTTGGCAATTTAGGGTCAATATAATTGTCTCAGGTGTCTCACAGGATGTGATACAACAACTCGAGGGTTTCCGGGGCCGTTTCATTGTAAAAAACCGTCAAGTTTTGTTAAATGTGGTTGGCAGCAATGTTTCGAGTGACGTGTTGGTCGTGTCAAGAATGTAAACAGTGCTTTTGTAAATTGTCTCAAAACGGGGTAAAATGTCGCTTCCGGGTAACGGTATTTTCGTGGTGAGGGGCGAAATGTGTACTTTAATGACGGCGATGCGTCGCGGCGCCCGTTGGTCGTCCCACTCCCACCAAGACGACGACGACCCCCTCATGAAAAACTTCCAAGAACTCAAAGAAATCTTGAACAAAATCGACGATTTGCGTTTGGTGCAACCGAACATTTATTTGGGGCCGTTCCTGGAGGTGATTCGATCGGAGGAGACCACAGGCCCGGTGACAAGTCTCGCTCTATCAGCAGTTAACAAGTTCCTGGCGTACGGATTGATCGGTGAGTGTGTTTGAGTTAAACCAGCGCTGATAGCCCCCTTGTAGACCCCACTCATAGTTCGGTGCCCACCACCGTGCACAGTATCGCCGATGCGGTCACCCACGCCCGGTTTGTGGGCACAGACCAGAGCTCCGACGGCGTGGTCCTCATGAGAATCCTGCAAGTGTTACGCACCCTGACTCTGGCCCCCGAGGGGGCCACTCTCACCAACGAGAGTCTCTGCGAGATTATGCTGTCGTGTTTCCGGATCTGTTTTGAGACACGTCTCAACGGTGAGCCCCCATACCCTTGAACGACAGACACTCATTTAATTTTGTAGAATTGTTGAGACGCACCGCTGAGCACTACCTCAAAGACATGGTCCAACTTGTCTTCATGCGTCTCCCCCAATTCTCCGAGGACTTGTGTGCCGTCAAACAGTTCAAAATGCGTCCGGGGGCTATCGAACAAACCCGAACCAAGCGGAAAAAGTCGTTCAGATTGTCGAAATTGGAGGAAACGCCGTCGCCCCCGACTCAATTAAAGCCCCAGAATCGCACTAATCATCTCTCGACAACCCCCATGACCCCTGCTGGGAATATAGTCGACATGCAAGGCTCAATTTCGCAAATTACTCCGGAAAATGCCACAGAATCCCCCTCAAATTTCGATAGTAATGTGCAAATCAATGTGGAGCCCCCTAGTCCGGATCATGAGGAGGAAACGACGGTACCTGAAATTGAGGAGGCTCACGATTATATCAATCAAAGGGGGATCAGGTTTACCCAACAAATGGGCGAAGAGGTTGTTTTAGCCCCCTATGGCCTGGCTTGTGTTCGGGAGTTATTTAGGTTTTTGATCAGTCTTTGTAACCCCTTGGAGAAACAAAACACTGATGTTATGATACATTTGGGGCTCACGTTGCTCACTGTGGCTTTTGAAGTGGGGGCTGACAGTATTGGGAAATATTCACCTCTTTTAGCCCTAGTTAGAGATGATTTGTGTCGAAATTTATTCTCTGTGAGTCACAAATTACAATTTTTCAATTTTATTTTGTAATTTTTTTGTAGCTTTTGTCATCGGAACGCTTGTCTGTCTTTGCGGCCGATCTCCAAGTCTGTTTTTTGATGTTTGAGGCGTTGAGAACTCACCTCAAGTTCCAACTTGAATTTTATTTAACTAAATTAATCGATATTATTGTAACCGATTCGGGGAAAATCTCCTACGAACATAAGGAAATCGCCCTTGATAATATCCTCCAATTGTGGCGAATTCCGGGTCTTGTAACCGAACTCTACCTAAATTACGATTGTAATTTGTATTGTACTAATCTCTACGAAGATTTGACTAAATTATTGGCAAAAAACGCGTTTTCGGCCACTTCGGGTGTTTATCACACCCATATGTTATCACTAGATGCGTTATTAACGGTAATTGAGAGTATAGAACAGCATTGTTTTGAAAAAAGTGAGACTTTGGAAGAGGGGGCGAAACTCGAGTCAAGCACCGAAAATATTGAAACTATCACGAATTTTATTGGAAAAACCACCAGACAGAAGATTTCCGATCAAATTCCCAGTAAAGACGAACTTATGGCGCAAAAAAACATCAAAAAAGTAAGTTTTTTGAAAAAAGTGGGGTTATGTCATTTAGTTACATTCCAGTGGCTCCCAACCGGTACCGAACATTTTAATCACAAACCCAAGAAAGGTATCCAATTCCTTCAGGAGCATGGAGTATTGAAAAATGAACTTGACCCGCATGAAATTGCACTTTTTCTCAAGGAAAATTCCGGATTGGATAAGAAAATGATTGGGGAATATTTGGGAAATCGCAGTAATGTCACAATTCTTGATGCGTTTTTGAAAACTTTTGATTTTACAAATACACGGATTGATGAGGCGTTGAGACACTATTTGGAGACTTTTAGATTGCCAGGGGAGGCACCTATTATTTCGCATTTGATGGAACATTTTGCGGAGCACTGGCATGTAGGTTGGCAACACTTAAAATCGTACCAACCGGCGCGAAATTTGAATTTTTTTGTAGAAAAGTAACGGTGAGCCGTTTGTCGACGTAGATGCGGCTTTTACACTCGCCTACGCTGTGATTATCCTCAACGTTGACCAACATAACCAAAATGCGAAGAAACAAAAAACCCCAATGACACTCGCCGGTTTTAAAAAGAACCTAAAAGGTGTCAATGGAGGCAATGATTTCGATGAGGACATGCTCGATGAGATTTACAACGCTATTAGGTAATTTATGTCAGGGGTACCAACTTAATATATTTTTTTTTAATTGTAGGACTGACGAAATTGTTATGCCGGCTGAACAAACTGGTCTCGTTCGTGAGAATTACCTCTGGAAGGTGCTCCTGCGTAAGGGGGCGTCGAAAGACGGTGTTTACTACCACGTCAATGGGGGTCAATTCGATCAGGAACTTTTCGCGTTGATTTGGGCACCGATTGTGGCAGCCCTGTCTTTTGTTTTTGACAAATCAGAAGAACAACCAATTTATAAGAAAGCAATGATGGGTTTCCAAAAATGCGCATTTATTTCATCACATTTCGCCATGTCGAAAAATCTCGACATGTTGATACAAACCTTAGCCAAGTTTACCAACTTTCATAATTTGCAAAGACCCAACAATGGGGTTATTATGTTTGGGGGTAATGTTAAAGCGCGTTTGGCCTTGAAATGTGTTCTTGATTTGTGCCACCAACACGGTGATAATATCCGTGAAGGGTGGAAAAATTTATTTGATTTGGTTTTGTCACTGTATATTTTGGGGTTATTACCGAAGAGTTACATCGAAGCTGAGGATTTTATTGAAAGTAGTGGAAAAATCGTTTTGATTTATGAGGAAGTTGAAAATTTGCAAAAACAAGAAAGTGGTCTTTTTAGTTCATTGTATTCGTATATGGTCTCAAGTGAGAATTTATCACGGGTACCAACTGTTGAAGAACAACAACACATGGATGTGGCTAAGGAGACGATAAAAGAATGTAACTTTGATTTGGTTATAACTGATTCGAAGTTTCTTCATGATGAGTCACTTAAGGCCCTTGTTGGGGCTTTAATCGAGTTATCGAGGCCCCCAGACGTTCAAAAAAGCCTCGGTTATAACTACAACGAGAATGTTGCTGTATTTTTCCTCGAACTTTTAATTAAAATCGTGATACAAAACAGGTGAGTTCGAAAAACGAAATTCCCCCAGATTCAAAATGGCGTTTTCAGGGATCGAGTCATGACAATATGGCAGACAGTCCGTGATCATATCTACACCCTCGTCATGAATTCTTCAGTTTTCGATTATCAATTTTTATTAGAACGTTCAGTTATCGGCCTCCTTCGTATCGCAAATCGTCTTATGCGCAACGAAGACATGAGCCCCATCGTCCTCCAATCCCTCCAAATGCTCCTCCTCCTCAAATCCTCCACATTGTGTCGTATTTCGCGTCAGATCTCATTCGGTCTCTATGAACTCCTCAAAACCTCCGCTCAAAATATCCACACTGAGACTGATTGGACGATTATTTTCACCCTATTGGAGTGTGTGGGGGCGGGTGCTGTCCCACCTAAACCAATCGCTGATGATCACCCCACTACTAAATCAGACGGCGAAGGTGTGGCTTCCGACGATGACACGCCCGATCGTGGCTACACTTCCGATTCGGAATTGAGCAAAAGTCCGAAGCACCGCCCACAAAGCCCCGCCTGTGGGTGGATTCTTGTAGGGAATGAAGGGGAGATTCAACCGGTTGTGGGGCGTACACTCCCACCGAGTCAATATAGTCTTGCACTTGAACGCAATTTGGGGCCTCATGACCCAAGTAGTCTTATAAAATGTTGCGAAAGTCTTGCGTTTCTTGTCAGGGATGTGGCTCACATCACGCCTTATAATTTCGATGATTGCGTACATTGTATCAGGACGTTTGTGGAGGCAAGTTTGCATGGGAATAGAAGACAGAGGAGGGGTAAAGAAGCGAGAGGGAGGAGACAGCGTCGGAAAGGGGCGGAGCGACGAAGTCCGACGAGTAGTCCGGATGAGGAAAGTGACGAGGAGGAGGTGCCTAGTGGGTATCATCAAATTTCGATACAGTTATTGGATTTGATGCACACTTTGCATACAAGGACCGCCCAGATTTTTAAATGGTGGGCGGAGGAAGGCGGGGCTTTGGCTAAAGAAACGTCATTGTGGACACAAGGATGGTGTCCTTTACTTCAAGGCATTGCTCGGCTTTGTTGCGATATTAGGAGAGAGGTAATTTGAATTTCGCGCCATTTACTTACATCTCACTAACACGAGACGGTCCATTGTAAGGATATATACAGTGTGAGGGTGAGGTGTAAATTGTGTAGTATGAAAGGAGAGACGGTTAGCACTCCCCTAGACAAGGTTGGAAACACAAATAAGGTTGAGCGTCGCACACTCAACCCCATTTTTTTTTCTCCCCAACCCCCTAAAAAAAATTCTTTTGTTTTAGATTCGCATGAGTGCTATTACTTACCTACAGAGGGCGCTTCTTGTGCACGATTTGCAGACTCTTACAGGCCCTGAATGGGAGGCGTGTTTCCACCGAGTCCTTTTCCCCCTCCTGGCACACCTCCTTACCAATATTGACCCCAAAGACCCCATGGCCATGGAGGAGACGCGTATGCGCGCCGCCACTGTCCTCTCCAAGGTGTTCCTCCACCATCTAACTCCACTCCTCTCCCTCCCAACTTTCTCTAATTTATGGTTGGTAATCCTGGATTTCATTGATAAGTACATGCATGCTGATAAGAGTGATCTTTTGGCTGAGGCCATCCCCGAATCGTTGAAAAACATGCTTTTGGTCATGGATTCGGCGAAAGTTTTTGAAGGGGCTGATGGGAAGAGCCCCCTTTGGATGGCCACGTGGGACAGGATCAATAAATTCCTCCCAGGGATGAAAGAAGAGTTGTTTAGGGAACAACAAGGAAAACGGGAGAATGTGGAGGTGTTGCAACATAATATTGAGAATGCCACCAAGTCGATTATACTACAGCCCCCATCGAGTCAACAACAAGTCTCGTCGCCGCTTTTCGCGCATTTGGGACAGGTGGGGGCTTAAAACAAATGACAGAAGTTGGTAGTAGTAAAGTAACTAGGATTTGCAGCGTTGCCACGTCTATTTTTATTTTTTAATTTAATTTTTTTGTTTTTGTAGATGGTGTCAACGCCGATTGCCTCGGCGCCTCCGCCCCCGCCCCCGTTTCTCCAGCCGACGCTCCAGCCCGGCATGCCCTACTTATACGCCAAAAATCAAAGTCATACATTTCCAGTGTTGTATAACAGTCCCGTATCGTTGTACTCCGAATATGTGGGAAACCCCTACAATAATGCCACTACAGAGGAAGAAAATGCGCCAAATTTATTAGATGTTAATAAAAATAATGATCTAGTCGAGTCTGACGCCCCAAATAACAACACCAACGTGTTTCAGTCTTCAAATTATTTCAGTTCGGACTCGGGGGGCGATTTTATACCCCCGGGCTCCGAGATTCTGTTTGGTACAGAACAGGGAAATTTCATTCCAGTGTGTACAAATAGTGACATAAAAACGAGCGATGTTTAAGTGTTTCTAGACTAGAAAATTTTAAATCCTAATTTTATGTAAATAATTGTTTCCTTTTCTGTTATTTAACGCCCTTTTCCGTATTGTGTACATCAAAGATATATTTTTACTCAGTTGTTACCCAAATAAAACAAAGTATTTAGTGAACTCAACTTTATTTATTAACACATAAATAAGAAACCAATTCAAACATTTCTCTTGATTGCCGCCTCAAGGTCGGGCATGACCTCCTTGAATTTGTGCCACTGCTCCATGGTCAACATGATCCCCTTTTTGCCGGGGCGCAGCTCCCCATCGGCGTTGTAAAACTCGCGGATATTCACGTACCATTTTCCCTTAAACTCGGTCAATTTCACGAACCGGTTCTTCCCCAAATCCCACGAGGTCTCATCGCCGTCGCCACTGGCCTTGCCTTGCGTCTTCTGCTTCTTCGCGGGGCCTCTCTGTAAATAAAAAAATGTGAGGTTAGGTGACACCGGTGAAAAAATACTCACATCCTCGGGACCAGAATCGGAGTCTGAGGTGTCGGACTTTTTAGAATGCTTGTTTTTGGGCATTTTGGAGCAAAGTTTGAGCCTAATTGCTAATTACAAGAAAAATTACAAGACGCGAACGGATTTTAAAAACTGCTGCCAACTGTATGAAACGAAAATGCACGAGTGCCAACCTCGATTGTTATAAAATTTACAAAAACACCTAACCTCATTTTTTTATTAAATTCACAAAAAACTAATAAAATACACAATTAAGCTACTCAGGACTGACTAAAAGTGTGTATTAATACAATTGTAACGTTAAACATAATTTTTGGGTGTTAATTTAGCCATTTATTTAAACATAACCTCACTCTTCCTAACCTCAAAATCGGAAATGTTGCGAAATTTAGGCTTAATTTTCCGCGGATTTGAGGTAAAATTCAGCACAAAAGCTTCTCAAGTGTCTGATATAGCCCCAAATGAAGACTTCGTCACCAAACTATTGAAAGTGGCCGTGATAGGTGTCCCAAATGTGGGCAAAAGCACTTTTATTAATAATTTAATGGATCGCAAGGTTTGAGCCTTTTTCTCGTTTATTTCTCTAAATAATGACTCAAAATAGGTGTGTCCAGCGTCGAGTAAAGTCCACACAACTCGGGCCAAAACCCAGGCGATTTTCACAGAGGGGGACTCCCAGATCGTTTTCCTCGACACTCCCGGCATTGTCACTTTCCAGGAATACAAAAAGTAGGTCCCCAAACCAGTCCCACTCACCAACTAAACGAATTTTCCAGATTTGGCTTGGAAAAATCCTTTTTACGCGACAGCAAAGCTTCATTACGCGAGGCCGACATAATTGGGGTTATCCACGACGCTAGCAACATCTGGACGCGTGAAAAACTCGATATTAAAATCATCCGTTTACTCGAAGACAACAAAGACAAGCCCAGTTTTCTGGTCATAAACAAAGTCGACATTATTAAATCCAAACGAAAACTCCTCGATGTCACGCGCCAATTGACAGAGAATTGCATCGAGGGGGCCCCAATTCCGGGGAGCAAACCGTTCAAGAGTAGTGAAATCAAGGGGTGGCCCCATTTCAGCGACGTTTTCATGGTGTCAGCCCTCACGGGAAGCGGCTTAGACGAAGTGAGGACTTATTTAGTTAAAAATGCGAAACCGGGGGAGTGGCTGTACCCGGGGGAAGTCTGGTCGGACAAGACCGCCGAAGAGATCATTGTTGATAGTGTCAGGGCGAAATTGTTGGATTTTTTGCCCCAGGAAATCCCCTACAATCTCAAACCCGAAATGGAGTTTTTCAATATTAACGAAAAAGGTGTGTTGAATGCAGTGTTGCCAGCTCAAAGCAATTAAATTCACCAGATCTTAACTGAAAAGTTACCAGATTTACACCTACTTTCACTATTTACATTTAATTTTTTTAATACTGTCGAAGATTCACGTTTTTTTACAAATCTGCTCAAAAACGTACTTAAACACGTGAAAAATTCAAAGGTTGCCAAATGAATTTTTAATTTGACACCCAATCATTTACAGTCACCCGATATTTGCCTTTTTACTTGAAAAACATGCTAAAACACTTGATAAAAGCAAAAATAATGACTTAATTTGATGTTTTTTTGGTTTGTTTTAGCAAAATCTTGCAATTAACACCATTTTCGACCATATTTTGTATTTTTCGTTCTATTATTTTGACAAAATTTCACTCAAAAAGAGCTAAATCGAATGAAACGAACGAAATAACATCGATTTAGATTTATTTTTGTTGTGTTTAAGCATGTTTTGACAATATCCTGCAAAATAAATGAGTCTGGTTAAAAAACGAACTAAATCGAGCGAAACAAGCTAAAATAATGTCCACAACGATTTAATTTGGTAATTTTTCAGACAATTTTAGAAAAATTTGTTGTTAAAATCTGTTTTTATCTTAAAACGCTCTTAACCACTTGAAAAAAGCAAAAATATGCAATTTTTAACCCAATTTGATAAAATTTCAGCTGAAAAATGTGCTAAAACACTGGAAAAAGGCAAAAATTATTTAATGTTTTTTATTCAATGTGTTATTTTTTTGGTTTGTTTTAGAAAAATCTTACAAAAAACCTAAGATTTTGGTTGGAAAACGTGTTTACGAGTTTAAAAAAATTAGTTTTCGATCAAATTTTCCGATTTTTCTGCTTATTTTTGATTACTTTTTACTGAAAAACTAGTTAAATTAAGTGAAACAAAGAAAATATCATGAATTTTGATTTGTTTTTCTGATTTTTAGGCGTGTTTTGACAAGTTCTTGCAAAATAAATTGTTAGTTTTAGAGCCAATTATTGAAAAAAAAATCAGAAAAATTGTTTTTATTTAATTTTTAGTAAATTTTCTGTTTGTTCTTAAAGAATTTTTGCGAAATAATTGCGTTTCTGGCCGAAAAACGTGTTGAAACGCTCAAGAAAGAGAAAAATAATATAATTTTGGAATTAATTTGGTAATTTTTTTATTTGTTTTAGTATAATATTGCAAAAAAAAAATGAGGCTTTAATATAAAAACTTGCTTGAGAAAGTTATAAATAACACTATTTTTGACCAATTTTTAGTTTTTTTTTTTGATTAATTTTTGCTCAAAAATAAATTACATCGAGTGAAACAGACAAACTATGATGAATTTAGATTCGTTTTTGTGATTTTTAAGCGCGTTTTGACAAGATCTTGCAAGTGTTTGGTTCAAAAACGGACTAAATCGAGCGAAACACACTAAAATAATATCAATTTCATTTTAATTTGGTAATTTTTCAGTCAGTTAGCAAAAATGTGAGTGTATTTTAAAAACGTGCTGAAACACTTTAAAAATGCAAAAATAATACTAGTTTGGGCCTAATTTGATAAATTTTCGGTTTGTTTTTAACGAAATTTTACAAAATAGTTCTGTTTCTGGCTAAAAACGTACTAAAACGTTCAGAACTGGACAAAATAATGAACTTTTTGACTCATTTTAGCTATTTTTTTACCTTGTTGAGTGAAATACCATTTAGAAAAACAAAACTATCTCTCGATTTTCCAACTTGTTTTTGAGAAAATTTAGCATTCAAGTTTCTGAATGGCTAAAAAAACATACAAAATCCTCAAAAAAATACAATAAAAAGTGTTATTGACTGAATTTACTATATCAATACTTAAAAAATCAATTAAAAAAGAATAATTTTGGGCGAATACTCGATTTAAAAAAAATATTTCAAAATACATTAATTTTCTGCTGGAACCACAGTCACGTTTCTAAAAAAATCATCGAAAATTAGAATTTTTAGAAAAGTTTTCACCAAATCATAATAATAGTATGAAAAGTCACCAGATTTGGTGACATTTCACCAGACCTGGCAACACTGATTCGATTATTTCGATTTTTAAAATATATCGATTATTTCCAACAATAAAAAATGATTTTTCAGGTGTGATTTCGAGCGTTGTTTTGGTGCACTGCCCCAGTGAACGCATTGCAAAGCTCGTGGCGGGGGAAAGTGAAGGTAAATTACGCCAAATCAATGAAAGTCTCCAAGTTGATTTACAAAAAACATTTCATAATTATGTAAAAATTAAATTAGTTCTAAAATAAATTAGAGATAAGGCCCCCATCCTATGTACATTTGGCACAAATTATCAATACTCATCGCTTCATTTATCAAACTATTTGTTTGCCCATCAACTGATAAGGGAATTGATAAGGAGCGGTCTTTAGTCTTCACAATAATCCCTTGTAGTCTCAATTGTATGTTTTTGACATGATCTAAAGCCTAAAAAGACAAGTAAACAAATTAAATAAAAAAAAAAAACACCTTACTTGTTCATTTGTCTTCTCTGCGGTGTTATGCCCCCCAGTATGGGGCCACGACACTAGCGGATCATACACAAAGGGGGTCACAATCGACATTAAAGTATTAGCATTGGTTCTCAAAACCCTCAAAGTGCAAGCACAAGACTTCCGAAAGACCCCTTCAACCCCCAGAGGCCCCATCGCCGCGACCATATTCTGCGTCAGCCTAAAAGGCACCCTCTCCGGCCACTCAAAACTCTCCCCCTTGTTAAAAAGACAATTAAAATCGACATGAACCGTGTCCCCACATGTCGAATCCAGAAGAATATTCTCCCCGTGGCGGTCCCCCAGCCCTAGAATGTACCCCACCATGGACATGACCCCCGTAGTCCTGATATACGCACTCCGGGCGAAGAACCAACTCTGGGGGTCCGGAAACGCCTTCCGGAACCACTCCCCCAAAACGGGGGGATGTCTCACCAGAAGAGTTTTAGTAAAAACATCGCGTTTTTTCGTAAGGGGGTCACGGAGATTGCAACTGGCGTCGCGGAGCTCTTTCGTCGTCATTGCGCCCCCACGTTGCTTATACAAACTGTGCAAAATGGGCCGTAGGCCCACCAAATTGGGGACCCATTCGATCAAACCGCATTCCTCGTTCAAGGGGGCCACGGAATAGAGGCGTATGTTGAGGCGTCTTTGACGCGATTCCGGTTCACGTGACAAGAGTTGGTTCACAATATCGTTGAATTCCATCAACCGGAAGTCTTTCCGGAGGTCATCTTTCGGTTTCAACATTTGGATGTAAGTCCTACCGTCGGAGCCCCGAAATGTGATTTTTCTCGGACGTTGCAAACTCCTCAAAAGGGTCACTTCCTCCTCAATTCCCACGATATGGACGTAATGGTTGGGGAAGGGATTGTGTTGGGTGCTGGAAAAGTCCGGATTCGGGAGTACCAACTTCCGGAATTTGTGAGTAGGGATCATAATCTCGCTGAAGTCCGGTTTGGCCAACATCCGGGGAAGCGCCCGGAGTAGGGCACTAACTGTGGTCGTTTCCACATCTTGTGCTACATTTTTATTACATAATTCGATCAGTTTTTCGGCCAAATTCGTGAAATCAACGACTAGTTTTTGCATTGTTGCCGTTTTCAGTTTCGCATCGCTGAAAATTTCAACACAGCGTTTTGCACGCACTTTATAACTCGATTTGATCACTGAAATGATCATCCAGAGACTTTGTTGGGGATAATTGAGGAGTAATTTGATTATTATTGACTTCAACTCGACGTAGACTTCTTTCTGTGGATGGCAAATACGTGAAATAATTTGGGAAAAAGCGGTCAAAAACACGTAAGTTGGGAGGTTCTCGAGGGCATAATCGATGAGTTTTGTCATTTTGACGAGATTATTTTTGCGTTCGTCGCGGGTTTTTGCATCGGAGATGTCCAATAGTCGAGTACCGTAATCGAACCAAATTGATAGTAATCTGGGCATTGATTGGTAGACGAAAGCAGTGCCGTAACGCAACGATTTGCAAAAACAATTAATCATCCAGATTTGCATTTCGCTGCCTTTGCTGCTGTCGCACTCTTCGGGGGCGTAATTCTGGAAGCGGCGGTCGTAAAACTGGGCCAATTTTACCTGGAAAAAAAAACGTCAAAATTTTGTTAAAAAATTGGTGGAATTTCAGAGCAAAAAAGGGTTAAAATCGGCCGAAACGGCTGAAAATTCAAAACTAAAAGGTCTTTTTTTATCTTACTTCGATTTAAGTGAGTTTCTGACTGAAATAACGTAATTTACACGGTTTTTCGACTTTGTTTATAAAACACGATTTAAGTAATTTTCTGGGGCAAAATAAAACGTGGAAATTGTTCAAAAACGGCTGAAATAGCTTAATTCAGATCTTTTTTTTGGTAAAATACGTTGATTTGAATGAGTTTCCGATTGAAAAACTTGCTAATCTGATCAGAAATGAGTGAAATACGATGATCTACGTGAGTTTCTGAAACGAAAAACACGCAAATTCGTTCGAAAATTACTGAAATTACATAATTCAGTTCAAAATCGACCACAAATTGGATAATTCGGACTAAAAAGGATCTAAATATGGGCTAATTTTACCTAGAAAACAAAGTCTGCTTTTTTTTTAAGGAAAAAGTGAAATTTTTGTTAAAAATTTGGTAGAATTTATAGCCCATAAGACCTAAAACGAGGATTTTTTTTTTATTTCTTTGGCTTGTATTGGTTAAACACAGAATTAAATGGGTTTTTGGTCAAAAAAAAATAAAAAAATACTGCAATAAACATGTTTAAAAAATGGTTAAAATACATCGATTTTCGTAAGCTTCTGGCATAAAAAAAACATGCAAAAACACTCCAATTCATGTCCAAAACAACGATTTTATTGACTTGTTTCGACGGGAATTTTTTTAACAAAAAACACGCAAAATCGTTAGAGAATCACTAAAATTACGTAATTCAGGTCAAAAACGACGATTTTTTGTCTTGTTTCGGCAATTTAGGCGAGTTTCTGACTCCAAAACGTTAAATTTCTTGCAAAGTGCTGAAATTGCGTAATTAAGACCTAAAACGAAGTTTTTTTTTATCTTAAACTGGGCCAATTTTACCTAGAAAACAACGATTTTTTTCAAAGTTTAGGTAAAATTGGTAGAAATTCTGCCCAAAAACAACTTTTTTATCTTTATTTTTTAACAACTAAAACACTTCGATTTAAGTGAGTTTCTGACTGAAATAACGTAATTTTTCGACTTGTTTTTATAAAATAAGACGTGAAAATCGTTCGAAAACGGCTTACTTTAGAGCTACAATGAAGGTTTTTGATTTGTTTTGGCAAAATATGTTGATTTGAATGAGTTTCCGGTTCAAAAGCTTTCTAAGCCGGTCAGAAATGACTGAAATACGATGAATTTTACTTACAATTTTTTTTTTATTTGAAAAAAAAATGGTAAAACTTCTAGCCCAAAAACGGGTTAAATTTGTCGGAAACGACGAAAATCACATAATTCACACTTAACGACGACTTTTTTAGTTGTTTTTTTTTTATCAAAACACCTCGATTTGAGTAAGTTTGTGGCTAAAATAATGTAATTTACACTTGAAAGGGCGATTTCCTGACTTGTTTTTATAAAATACCATTTAATTTGACTAGTTAAACCGTTCGAAAATGGCTGAAACTACGTAATTAAGGTCAGAAAAGACGATTATTTTATCTTGCTTTAGCAATTTAGGTGTATTTCTGGCTCAAAAACGTGTTAAATTGCTCACAAATTGCTGAAATTTCATAATTCAGACCTAAAACTAAGTTTTTTTTTTTAAATTATGCTATTAAATCTAGTAAAGTCTGTTTTTTTTTTTAATAAAAAAGTCAATATTTTGTTGAAATTGGTAAAACTAGTAACTCAAATTTTTTCTATCTTTTTTTTTTTATCAAAACATTTCAATTGAAGTGAGTTTCTGACTGAAATAACGTCATTTATCGACTTGTTTTTATAAAATACGATTTAGGTAAGTTTCTGAGGCAAAATAAAACGTGAAAATCGTTCGAAAACGGGTGAAATAGCTAATTCACAGCTAGAATGAAGGTTTTTGATTTGTTTTAGCAAAATACGTTGATTTAATGAGTTTCCAGTTCAAAAACTTACTAATCCGGCCAGAAATGGCTGAAATACGATGAATTTTCGTTCCAAAATTACTGAAATTACATAATTCAGAACAAAAACGATGATTTTCAGCAATTCAAGTGAGTTTTTGACTCAAAAACGTGTTAAAATGAGTTTTTTTTTATCTAAAACTGGGCTAATTTTACCTAGAAAACAAAATTTGCTTTTTTTAAACTAAAAAGCCAAAATTTTGGTTAAAAATTGGTAAAATTTCTAGCCCAAAAAAGGGTTAAATTTGTCGGAAACGACTGAAAAAATTACATAATTCAGACCTAAATGCATCTTTTTTTTTAATTAAAACACTTCGATTTAAGAAAGTTTCTGGCGAAAATAACCTAATTTACACTTTTTATCTTGCTTCAGCAATTTAAGTGAGTTTCAGACTCAAAAACGTGTTCGCAAAATGCTGAAATTACATAAATCAGACCTAAAACAACGTTTTTTTTTTTAATATTAAACTAGGCTAATTTTACCAAGAAATCAATTTTAAGGAAAAATCTAGTAAAGTTTGTTTTTTTTTAACGAAAATGATTGATAAAACTTCTAGTCCAAAAATTAATCCGCTTAGAAATGGCTGAAATATGTTGATCTACGTAAGTTTCTGAAACAAAAAACCCGCAAAATCGTTCGAAAATGGCTCAAATTGGATCAATTTTTGATCTTGTTTTGCTTAATTCAAACTTCTAACGACTTTTTCAATATGTTTTTTTATAATTCTGAACTTGGACTGCTAACGGATTTTGAAAATAACTTCTTTTCTCTTATTCCCTCTCTTTTCTTATTCCTCACAAAAAAAATCCATGCATGAAATCGCTAAAAAAGTGACTTTATTGTCTTCTTTCGGCAAAATACGGTGAATTTTTCTGGCTTAAAAGCGTGTTAAATTGCTCAGAAATTGCTAAAATAGCGAACTTCAGATCTAAAACGGAGATTTTTTTGGCGTATTTTTGGCTAAATGCGTCGAATTAAATGAGTTTCTAATCCAAAAAAAAACTAAATAAATATGCGATTTACGTAAATTTCTGACACAAAAGAATGATAAAATAGCTAAAACACTATTTCTACAAAAATAAAGTTTTTCTGTCAAACCAAGAAATTACAAAGTCAAAATTTTGGTGAAATAGTTGGTAGCACCCTGTCTCCATAGCAACAAATTTAATTTGTTCATACCGAAATTGACAACTTATGAATGAACTGGCCAGTGGTGCCAACGTTAAGACTGTTTAACATTTCCGGTTTTATTTAAAAAACGCAAATCAACATGGCTGAAATTACATAATTCAGGTCAAAAACGACGATTTTTTGTATTGTTTTGCATAATTCAAAATTTTCTAATATTTTCTTTATTTTTGTATTGTTTTTGTAAAAAAAAAAACTTCAATAAACCTACCAGTCCTGTCTCCCACTCCTTATACATCTCACTGGCATCCCGATAATTCGCCGTTTTAATATCAGTATCGACATTCGATACAGAATCATTATAACATGCAATTAACAATTTCGCTTCAGCACAAATCTTCCTTTTCTCAATTGACAATGCAGCAATCGCTTCTTTCGAATTATCAGGTAATAAAATTTCCAATCCTCGTCTTAGTGTCGTCAATGCTTGTTCATGCTCCTCCCTCCCCCAATGCAATTTACTTTTTTCGACAAACAAGCTCGGGGGGTTATACTCCTCGGCTTTCAACGTATAGGTGAAACCTTGTTGGTGAACCCCCGCCGATCTAGCCATCTGTGCACTCAACAACCAACACTCCCCTAATAAAGAATTGAGCATCGGGATAGCCACCCCATGAGTGTCAATTAAACGTTTCGACTGCTCGATTGCAACCCTCCTCAGACATAAAAGCGGTTCAATTATCCTAACCGATTCTTGGACGACTTTAATCCTCAATTCCCATTCTTTTGACAAGTTTTCAATCACGTGACGCACAAAATCGCCATCATTTCGATTCGCAAGAATCTTATACGTGATTTTTTCTACTTGTTGTAACTCATTAAGGGCATGAAGTCGACTAATGTAACAATAACCGTGTTGATACGCCCCTTCTTCGACACTTGCAGCCCCCAAAAACTCCACTTGTTGACTCTTCATCCCTTCGATTATCCCCTCAAATGCGTCACGATCTCGGTTTTGAAACGCGAGTAAAGCTCGTCCGATTTTCACCCCCCATGAGGGGTTTTCGGTCATTTCTTCGCGATTTAATAGTGTGGAGAGGTCGTCGTATTGGCCGAGACGCCACAAAGGCTCGGCTTGAAGCTCGAAGAGGGTGTTTCCGAATTCGGGTTGGCGGTTTAGGGCCCCTTGGGCCACATGCAAGGCGGTGTGGACGTTGTCCAAGTCGAGGTAGCACCGGATTAGGCCTTTGAGGTGGTGGAGCTTCATCTGGGGGACGTGTTCGTAGCAAGCGGCCGCGTCGGAGAGCTTCCCGGAGACTTCCAACGAGAGGATGCGCTGCTCGATGGGGGGCTCAGTGGGCTGGAGGGCGGTGACGCCGGCCACGCCATCGGGCTCGTCCAATTGGGCGAAAATCTAACACAGCAACGTTGTAGAATTTTTATTAAAAAAAAACCTCTCCAAAAATTTTGACATTTGACTTTTTTTTTATTTGTCAGTTTATTCTACATCAAAAATCATTTAATTTTTGAAAATTCCCAGCTCTTGTAAAAACGGCAACGCTGTAGAATTTTTATTAAATAAAATCTGGCAAAAAATGTTGACTTTTAATTTTTGACATTTGACTTTTTTTTAATTGTCAGTTTATTCTACATCAAAATCATTTAATTTTTGAAAATTCACAGGGCTTGTCGAAAAAACGCCAACGTTGTAGAATTTTTATTGAAAAAAATCTGTCCAAAAATTTTGACATTTGACTTTTTTTTAATTGTCAGTT